TGGAGCGCACAATTGGCATGCTCAAGGGTTGTGGCTGTGCGTGTCTTCTGTTGGGGGCGCATTGCAATATTGACCTGAAAAGGCTTGCCATATTGTAATGGCTTGCAGTGTGCTCCACCATATGGCCATCATGCATGGCATCTCACTACAGCAGGTGGACCAACCTGACGAGCATATGCCTGATACAAAAGAATTTTGTAGCCTAAGGAATTAAAAGGCACATACATGAGTGTAGTTTAGATCATTTATTTATTCATTGAACATTTGATTTGCACATGTGACCAGTTGCTTTAGTGAATAATTGTAGGTTATTTAATGCAATGCAAATCTCACTCAATTTATTGTACATTTCGAGGATGGAGTTATTGATGTCATATTGTTTTTTCAGGACTGTGTCAGTCAGCACCGTTGGCTCCCGACTTGATGTGGCACTGGCACGAGTTGACTTCCCCTGGTTGGCACTGTCACCAGTTAACTTCCCCTTGGTGGCACGGGGACTGGATCTCTGCGAGTCACTCTCTGCAATAGACATTCTTTTATGTGTATTAATGCCTTGTCAAGTTATTGTTTGATTCATTTTGTTCCGAATCATTAGCCTACAATTATTTGTTTTAAACACAGGACAACGAAAAAACAGTTTTCAATATCATGATAAATAAATATTAATTGAATGAAATTGATATGCTGTATCCTTACCTTCAACTTGAACTTGCGATGGCCTTGAGTCAGACACTGGGCTGGGGGTCACTGTCACCCCCCAGTAGTATCCCTTACAGCAGTGGTTCCCAACCAGGGGTACTAGGACCCCTGGGGGTACTTGGCTTATCCACAGGGGGTACTTGAGAAGACTCATGAGACCATAGGCTTACTGGTAAAATGCACATGAGGGGGTACTCCGGGCAGACCAAAATTCAGTTGGTGGTACAGTAACCGAAAAAGGTTGGGAACCACTGCCTTACAGTGCCGTATCTCATATGATGCCAGCAATTCTTAGTTCTGGAGGAGAGAGGCTCGTCTCACTCTGCCACCCTCCAGTTGCACCAATGTCCTGCCTGTGAACTATTAGTGCCTTTTTGGCATTTAACTTGAGATCAAACCACTTTACTTCATCTCCGCCACTGACTGGCATTCTGAAGAGGCAGCCATTCACTGCAATTCCTACTTTCTCCCACACTATGTTTATATTTTTACTGGTCAAACCACAACTGAACGAGCCAAGTAAAATGTTTTGGTTGCATTCAACCTCTGACACTAGCACCTTTATTACAGTCTCGGATCAAACATGTATTTTTTATTTTTTGGTTGAGCCATTGTATTTCATGGTATGGGGTTGTACGTTTGCCCACTGACAAAGAAATGATCAGTCTATAATTTTAATGGTAGGTTTACTTGAACAGTGAGAGACAGAATAACAACAAAAAAATCCAGAAAAACGCATGTCATAAATGTTATAAATTGATTTGCATTTTAATGAGGGAAATAAGTATTTGACCCCTCAGCAAAACATGACTTAGTATTTGGTGGCAAAACCCTTGTTGGCAATTACAGAGGTCAGACGTTTCTTGTAGTTGGCCACCAGGTTTGCACAAATCTCAGGAGGGATTTTGTCCCACTCCTCTTTGCAGATCTTCTCCAAGTCATTAAGGTTTCGAGGCTGACATTTGTCAACTCAAACCTTCAGCTCCCTCTACAGAATTTCTATGGGATTAAGGTCTGGATACTGGCTAGGCCACTCCAGGACCTTAATGTGCTTCTTCTTGAGCCACTCCTTTGTTGCCTTGGCCGTGTGTTTTGGGTCATTGTCATGCTGGAATACCCATTCACGACCCATTTTCAATGCCCTGGCTGAGGGAAGGAGGTTCTCACCCAAGATTTGACGGTACATGGCCCTGTCCATCGTCCCTTTGATGCAGTGAAATTGTCCTGTCCCCTTAACAGAAAAACACCCCCAAAGCATAATGTTTCCACCTCCATGTTTGACGGTGGGGATGGTGTTCTTGGGGTCATAGGCAGCATTCCTCCTCCTCCAAACACGGTGAGTTGAGTTGATGCCAAAGAGCTTGATTTTGGTCTCATCTGACCACAACACTTTCAACCAGTTCTCCTCTGAATCATTCAGATGTTCATTTGCAAACTTCAGACGGGCATGTATATGTGCTTTCTTGAGCAGGGGGACCTTGCGGGCGCTGCAGGATTTCAGTCCTTCACGGCGTAGTGTGTTACCAATTGTTTTATTGGTGACTATGGTCCCAGCTGCCTTGAGATCATTGACAAGATCCTCCCGTGTAGTTCTGGGCTGATTCCTCACCGTTCTCATGATCATTGCAACTCCACGAGGTGAGATCTTGCATGGAGCCCCAGGCCGAGGGAGATTGACAGTTCTTTTGTGTTTCTTCCATTTGCGAATAATCGCACCAACTGTTGTCACCTTCTCACCAAGCTGCTTGGCGATGGTCTTGTAGCCCATTCCAGCCTTGTGTAGGTCTACAATCTTGTCCCTGACATCCTTGGAGAGCTCTTTGGTCTTGGCCATGGTGGAGAGTTTGGAATCTGATTGATTGATTGCTTCTGTGGACAGGTGTCTTTTATACAGGTAACAAACTGAGATTAGGAGCACTCCCTTTAAGAGTGTGTTCCTAATCTCAGCTCGTTACCTGTATAAAAGACACCTGGGAGCCAGAAATCTTTCTGATTGAGAGGGGGTCAAATACTTATTTCCCTCATTAAAATGCAAATCAATTTATAACATTTTTGACATGCGTTTTTCTGGATTTTTTTGTTGTTATTCTGTCTCACTGTTCAAATAAACCTACCATTAAAATTATAGACTGATTATTTATTTGTCAGTGGTCAAACGTACAAAATCAGCACCGGATCAAATACTTTTTTCCCCTCACTGTATATTCCCCACAGGCTTTAAAGGGATGATCTTGATCATATATGGTTAACTATGGGCGTTTCATAATGCAAATAGTGAAGGCTGTGCACAGGCACTGGGGCTCAGAACAATTTATATTTATCAATGGTGATCTCCAACTGGTGTGCGTATGACGCTCGTAGGATTGTTTTGATAAATCACACTTTTGCTATGCATACGAACATTCTAAATTCCTTTCATAAGTATTATTTTAGAATAGTTACTACGCAATATTGATAAATGAGGCCCCTGGAGTTTGCTAAACAGCATTGGCACTGAAACCGGTGCTATGGTCAGATGACATGAAAATATAGCTATTTGGCCATGCACACCAGTGGTGGGTCTGGCATCGAAAGAAGGATGCATATGCAGAAAATAACATCATAACTGCTGTAAAATACAGTGGTGGATCTTTGTTATGGGGCTGTTTGGCTTGCACTGGACCTGGGGCCCTTTGTTAAGGTCAACGGCAGGGCTCCAGACTGCGACCATTTAGTCGCATTTTGCGTCACTTTGACTAGGCTGTGCGAGTAAAAATTGTATTGATCACGCTGGTGCGAGCTGCACATTCTATCTGGTCACCTCAATCACAATGTCCTATTTTGCCTCCCGAGTGGCGCAGTGGTCTAAGGCACTGCATCGCAGTGCTAGCTGTGCCACTAGAGATCCTGGTTCAAATCCAGGCTCTGTCGTAGCCGGCCACGACCGGGAGACCCATGGGGCGGCGCACAATTGGCCCAGCGTCGTCCAGGGTAGGGGAGGGAATGGCCGGCAGGGATGTAGCTCAGTTGGTAGAGCATGGCGTTTGCAACGCCAGGGTTGTGGGTTCGATTCCCACGGGGGGCCAGTTTGAAAAAAATAAAAATAATGTATGCACTCACTAACTGTAAGTCGCTCTGGATAAGAGCGTCTGCTAAATGACTAAAATGTTATAAATATTTTTGGGGCGGATAAAACCATGAATTTGTTCAACAGTAAATTGCATTATCCACATGATTCCTGTAATAAAAGTGCCTACCCTGCCGCTGTGCCTTTCTTTTTCGCTAGGGCCGGCTGCTGTAATGAGTGAGTTCTGTAATGTTCTCACACTCTCTCTCCCCCCTCGTGAGTGTATAACATTTCAAAATGCAATTACAGGGGTAAAAAACACAACTTTGGAAACAACAAGTTGTCCATATTAAAGAGAGGATGGTCTCAGCTTTCTGTAGGTATAATTTTGTATTTCTCCACGATCATTATTGAGCTCAAAGCACACTGTTTTACCATCAAGAAATCTGATATGGCTTTGATATGGCCATCGCGAGTGCACTAGGCCTCATTGCAAAGTGTTTTTAGTACATTAAATTTACACTTCCGAAATGTACTCATTAAAAATAACCTCTGTGATCTCCTTCTTGCTAGTTAATATATTGTATTTTATTCAAGCGGATAAGGTAGTGACGAAGGCCGTGACTTGTCCATCATTGAAACCAGAACCTAGTCACTGTTGCCTAGGGTCAGGTGTTCAAAAATGTAGGATACTTTAAACGGCAGGATGTCATACTCATTGCGAGTTTTCATCTAGTAGAATTCGCTGCACACTATCGAGGAAGAGAATCCTCTTTCAAGACCCACGTGTGTTTGACAACCGCTGATAATTAAGATAAGGTGACGCGCTGTACCAAAATTAACCAATGATGGGAATCAACGCAATTGAACATTAGATGACGCATTCTCAGTATGGATGAGCCTAGTATGTTGATATTTGTTGCTTACTGCATTCGTTTTTACTAAACAGTACGTTCTAATTAGCATGTAGTATGATTAGTACACAGTATATAATTTTAGTAAGTAGTAGGCGAGACAGATTTCGGACACGGCCAATGTCATATTATGCTGGGGAAAAAGTGAAATGATTGTGTTTCACTGCTTCCGGTTCCAACCTGGTGCCAGTGAGCCATTCATTTCAATGGAACCCATTTTTTTTTGCTATGAATTGCAAACCAATAACTATATTTCTAGGCTTATGTTATAGACACATAATTGATGTATGTACTTTCGACTGTCATCTGCTTGTCCTGTATTTTAGAATGTTTTTCCAGAAGAGTTCGGCCCCAAGTATGACTCAACACTGCAGATTCTTGTGTGGGAGTTCCTGTCCAGACTGGAGAAACTGCTTCCTGCTCCAAACCTTAAACAGGTATTATTGTACTGTACATCATCTGATGTATGCAGTAGGGATGGGCATTTGAAATAATTTCTGTGTACGAGTATTCAAGTACTTACATGTTAGCGTGAAAGGGGGATGAATGCAAAAAGTTTACAGTATATTATCGGTTGCTACAATTTCTGGAAACCAAATGTAACATTTTCACTGCACTTGACATACCCCACAAACAATTAACACATCTTAGAGTTTGAAATGTTGCCAGTGGCTTTAATATAACCTGCTAATTAGTAGAATTTGTACATTGAGTACTTTTGTTTGATTATCGAGTACCTGCGCCCATACCTAGTATACATGCGGATCTCAAGTAATGATTTGGCCCAAAGTGCCTCTGATTCCAGACAAAACCTTCAAACACCATTTTTACTTTCTCCATCTCTTAGACTGCATCGTGGCTCAGCCTTGCCCCTGCTCTCTTAGAGGAGTGTGTGCAGTCTGTGGCTCACCCTGAGCCATTACAGACACTCCTGCGTCACCATAAAAATCGAAAACAGTTAGACACCAATGGTAGGTGGGGTACAGGATTTGGAAATAATTTACTTGTCTGTTTGCCTGAATTTGTTTTCGCTTTATACAAAAACAGAAAAATAACATACAGTGGGGGAAAAAAGTATTTAGTCAGCCACCAATTGTGCAAGTTCTCCCACTTAAAAAGATGAGAGAGGCCTGTAATTTTCACCATAGGTACATGTCAACTATGACAGACAAAATGAGGAAAAAAAATCCAGAAAATCACATTGTAGGATTTTTTATGAATTTATTTGCAAATTATGGTGGAAAATAAGTATTTGGTCAATAACAAAAGTTTCTCAATACTTTGTTATATACCCCTTGTTGGCAATGACACAGGTCAAACGTTTTCTGTAAGTCTTCACAAGGTTTTCACAGACTGTTGTATTTTGGCCCATTCCTCCATGCAGATCTCCTCTAGAGCAGTGATGTTTTGGGGCTGTCGCTGGGCAACACGGACTTTCAACTCCCTCCAAAGATTTTCTATGGGGTTGAGATCTGGAGACTGGCTAGGCCACTCCAGGACCTTGAAATGCTTCTTACGAAGCCACTCCTTCGTTGCCCGGGAGGTGTGTTTGGGATCATTGTCATGCTAAAAGTCCCAGCCACGTTTCATCTTCAATGCCCTTGCTGATGGAAGGAGGTTTTCACTCAAAATCTCACGATACATGGCCCCATTCATTCTTTCCATTACACGGATCAGTCGTCCTGGTCCCTTTGCAGAAAAACAGCCCCAAAGCATGAAGTTTCCACCCCCATGCTTCACAGTAGGTATGGTGTTCTTTGGATGCAACTCAGCATTCTTTGTCCTCCAAACACGATGAGTTTAGTTTTTACCAAAAAGTTCTATTTTGGTTTCATCTGACCATATGACATTCTCCCAAACTTCAGACGGGCCTGGACATGTACTGGCTTAAGCAGGGGGACACGTCTGGCAATGCAGGATTTGAGTCCCTGGCGGAGTAGTGTGTTACTGATGGTAGGCTTTGTTACTTTGGTCCCAGCTCTCTGCAGGTCATTCACTAGGTCCCCCCGTGTGGTTCTGGGATTTTTGCTCACCGTTCTTGTGCTCATTTTGACCCCACGGGGTGAGATCTTGCGTGGAGCCCCAGATCGAGGGAGATTATCAGTGGTCTTGTATGTCTTCCATTTCCTAATAATTGCTCCCACAGTTGATTTCTTCAAACCAAGCTGCTTACCTATTGCAGATTCAGTCTTCCCAGCCTGGTGCAGGTCTACAACTTTGTTTCTGGTGTCCTTTGACAGCTCTTTGGTCTTGACCATAGTGGAGTTTGGAGTGTGACTGTTTGAGGTTGTGGACAGGTGTCTTTTATACTGATAACAAGTTCAAACAGGTGCCATTAATACAGGTAACGAGTGGAGGACAGAGGAGCCTCTTAAAGAAGAAGTTACAGGTCTGTGAGAGCCAGAAATCTTGCTTGTTTGTAGGTGACCAAATACTTATTTTCCACCATAATTTGCAAATAAATTCATTAAAAATCCTAGAATGTGATTTTCTGGATTTTTTTTCTCAATTTGTCTGTCATAGTTGACGTGTACCTATGATGAAAATGACAGGCCTCTCTCATCTTTTTAAGTGGGAGAACTTGCACAATTGGTGGCTGACTAAATACTTTTTTTCCCCACTGTATTTCCTAATATTTCAATAATTACAGTGCATTTGGAAAGTATTCATACCCCTTGACTTTTTCCACATTTTGTTACGTTACAGCCTTATTCTAAAATTGATTAAATTGTTTTTTCCCCTCATCATTCTACACACAATACCCCATAATGACAAAGCAAAAACAGGTTATTCAATTTATTTGCTAATTTATTACAAATAAAAAAAATGGAAATATCGCATTTACATAAGTATTCTGACTCTTTACTCAGTACTTTGTTGAAGCACCTTTGGCAGCGATTACAGCCTCAAGTCTTCTTGGGTATGACGTTACAAGCTTGGCACACCTGTATTTGGGGAGTTTCTCCCATTCTTCTCTGCAGATCCTCTCAAGCTGTCAGGTTGGGTGGGGAGCGTCGCTGCACAGCTATTTTCAGGTCTCTAGAAATGTTCGATCGGGTTCAAGTCCGGCCTCTGGCTGGGCCACTTAAGAACATTCAGAGACTTGTCCCGAAGCCACTCCTGCCTTGTCTTGGCTGTGTGCTTAGGGTTGTTGTCCTGTTGGAAGGTGAACCTTCGCCCCAGTCTGAGGTCCTGAGCGCTGTGGAGCAGGTTTTCATCAAGGATCTCTCTGTACTTTGCTCCGCTCATCTTTCCCTCGATCCTGACTAGTCTCTGATGCTGCCACCACCACGCTTCACCGTAGGGATGGTGCCAGGTTTCCTCCAGACGTGACGCTTGGCATTCAGGCCAAAGAGTTCAATCTTGGTTTTATCAGACCAGAGAATCTTGTTTCTCATGGTCTGAGAATATTTAGGTGCCTTTTGGCAAACTCCAAGCGGGCTGTCATGTGCCTTTTACTGAGGAGTTGCTTCCGTCTGGCCACGCTACCATAAAGGCCTGATTGGTGGAGTGCTGCAGAGATGGTTGTCCTTCTGGAAGGTTCTCCCATCTCCACAGAGGAACTCTGGAGCTCTATCAGAGTGACCATCTGGTTCTTGGTCACCTCCCTGACCAAGGCCCTTCTCCCCCGATTGCTCAGTTTGTCTGGGCGGCGAGCTCTAGGAAGAGTCTTGGTGGTTCCAAACCTTTTCCATTTAAGAATGATGGAGGCCACTGTGTTCTTGGGGGACTTCAATGCTGCAGACATTTTTTGGTACTCTTCCCTAGATCTGTGCCTCGACACAATCCTGTCTCGGAGCTCTACGGACAATTCCTTTGACCTCATAGCTTGGTTTTTGCTCTGACATGCACTAACAACTGTGGGACCTTATATAGACAGGTGTGTGCCTTTCCAAATCATGTCCAATCAATTGAATTTACCACAGGTGGACTCCAATCAAGTTGTAGAAACATCTCAAGGATTATCAATGGAAACAGGATGCACTTGAGCTAAATGTTCGAGTCTCATAGCAAAGGGTCTGAATACTAATGTAAATAAGGTATTTCTGTTTTTTATTTTTAATAAATTTGCTAACATTTCTAAAAACCTGTTTTTGCTTTGGCATTATGGGGTATTGTGTGTAGATTGATGAGATTATTATTTTTTAAATCAATTTTAGAATAAGGCTGTAACGTAACAAAATGTGGAAAAAGTCAAGGGGTCTGAATACTTTCCCGAATGCACTGTATGGGTAGAAATTAGGAAATGAAGAGAAAAGTTATCATTGATTTCAATAGTTATTCCTGATGTTTACTAGTGATGCTCTCTCTCCTTGTTTCTAGCTCTAAGGTCCACTGGTGGTGACTACATCCTCTCTTCTCTGTCTGTCCCTTCTTCTGTGAAGGAAGAAAGTGCCTCTTACCAAGCTGGCCCAGAGAGACAGTCCTATCCCACCATGCAGGGATATCAAAGCCCTTTCCTATGTGATGAACCAGAGATGAGTTGGGACTGCAGAATGGCAGATTGTAGGGTCTGGACCGTAAAGCCACCAGCTGGTTCTGCTTCTGTGGAGGTAGAGGTCGAGACTATAGAGGACCCCACTGAGATAACAGTTAAACGCAAGACAATTGACAAAGAGTCGATAAAAGAGACTAGGAGAGAAGAAGCTGTTTTCTGCCCTCAGACCCGCAGCGGGCTGAAAACCAGCCGCTTGACAGCTGCCTGTCTGCGCCGTCAGCCTGTACTGCGGTTGAACAGGCTTGACATTAGCAATATGCCATTACCCAAGTCCTTGCTAACACTGATTTTAAGGCGAGGGAGACTGCAGGCTGAGGCGACAAGACGCCCAGGACCGAAAAGAAGAGGCAGAAAGAAAAAACGGAGAAGAGGACGTGGTGTTGCAAATGAGAAGATTGAAACAGACACACTTGATGTAAGCGATATGCCGCTACCCAAGTCATCACTAACACTGACCCTAAAGAGAGGGATCGTGCAGGCTGAGGCGACGAGTTCCCAAGTACCGAAAAAAAGAGGCAGAAAGAAAGGACAGAAAATAGGACCTGGTATCACAAGATTAATGATTGAAAAGGTTGGAGCACATACGCTTGACATTAGCGATATGTCATTACCCAAGACCTCGCTAAAACTGATTATAAGGAGAGGGAAACTGCAGGCTGAGGCAACGGGTTCCCAAGGACAGAAAAGAAGAGGCAGAAAGAAAAAATGGAGAAGAGGACGTGGTGTCAAAAATGAGAAGACTGAAGCAAAGGGTGTGAAAAGAGAGCGCTCACCTGAAACTGAGTGAGTGTCAGCTGTGGAACAGATGTATTCAAATCCAGGCCTCAAGGTCTGCAGTGCTGCTGGTTTTCTTTTCTCCCAGGTAGTAAATTGATTTATTCATATAATTGATTGACCAGAGAATACAGTCACCTAGTGTACAGAATCGGTCCCTGATTTGAGGGGTATTTTATTTTATTTTTTTAATTTATTTTGGTCATTTAGCAGACGCTCTTATCCAGAGCGACTTACAGGAGCAATTAGGGTTAAGTGCCTTGCTCAAGGGCACATCGACAGATATTTCACCTAGTCGGCTCGGGGATTAGAACCAGCGACCTTTCGGTTACTGGCACAACGCTCTTACCCACTAAGCTACCTGCCGCCCTAAAAATGGTATGGGTATTAGGGGAAGGATGAAAACCAGCAGTGGTGCAGACCTCAAAGCCCAGATGTGAATGCCCAGATGTTTGTGCACAACATTTTAGTGAATGTTAGAACATTCCAAGGATATTTCATTTACAACATTTTCTGAACAAAAAACTTATGTTATTATCCTAATGTTATATAAAAACCCTAGCTTGTGTTCTGGGAATGTTCCCAGTTTGCTGGGTAGGACCTTGGCAGTGAACTCGCCTATTGAAAATCATAACTGACTTTCATTTTGGTCTCTTCTCAGGGAAGATGCTGAACCATCAGATAATGAACTTTGGACCACTGTCAATAAAGGGGCCACTGTCGATGAGACTGGTAAGAAAGGTTCCTTAGTGAGTGTAGAGCAGTGAACGTCAAGCTCCTTAGATATGCAAAACTCCTGAATAAAGAAGAAGAAACTAGCAATGACAGGCTTAAAGATGCAGAGAAAGTGGGTACTAGACCTAAATGTCTATGATATTCTGCTGTGAGAATAGCTAAGTGCTTTTCATTCCATTGCGAGTTCAGTAAAACCTTTCCCTGCATCTATAAGGCTGCAGTACCTTGTTCTTTATTTGAGGAAAGTTATGTATCCCTTCACTGTATGGATCTTTGTTCAAATGTGGTCTATTCTATTTTAATTTAATCAAGCACCGGATCTGTCTAAGTTGTTCTCTTTGACTTTGATTGAGTTAATGTCAATATGGGGATGTCTTGCTCACTTCTCTCTTTTCAACACTAGGTGGAGTCCATGCTTCTCCTCATTGCCCATCATCTCATAAGAGGGAGGAGGAATTGCAACAGCCCATACAGAACTTTCAGCATGGTGGTCATATGGCCGAAGGGCAGAACAGAGCAGAACGCTCAGAGAGTGTACCTCAGGACTCTCAAACTCCTGAGCCATCCAATACCTCTCACAAAAGAAGCTTTCATTCAGAGGAGCACAGAGGTCATATGGCAGAAGGGCAGAACAGAGAAGAACGCTCAGAGAGTGTACCTCAGGACTCTCTAACTCCTGAGCCATCCAACAGCTCTCACAAAAGAAGCCAACGTGTCAAAGCATGCTCCTTCTGTGGCAAGACTTTCACTGACACACTGGCCTTGACAAGACACATGCGATCTCACATTGAGCAGATGTCACATCAATGCACCCAGTGTGGGCAAGACTATGAATTCAGTGAGGACTTAGAGGAACACCAGAAGAGTGGCTGTGAGGAGATGAAGAAAAAGGATAATAGTGAGGAAAATGGTGATGACTATTGTGGGGGAACTGTCCAGCAAAAACCAGATTTGAAAAAGAACCCTGATCTAAAAAGAGACAAAAAAACAGATCTGAAAGAAGACAAAAAACCTGATCTGAAAGTAGACAAAAAAACTGACCTGAAAGGAGACACACAAGACTGCTCCATAAAGTGCCATGTGTGCGGGAAAATAACAACTCGTATGCTGGGTTTGCGAAGGCACCTTCTAATTCACTTCAACAATGGAGCATACAAGTGCTCTGTGTGTCCAAAGACTTTTATATCAAATGCTGATTTGAGATCGCACCTGAGATCGAAACGATCTTGTAGGGAGAAATGTTCTGATGAAGTAATTACTACCGGGCTCAACCTCCAATCTGTCCCTGGTGAGTACAAGTGTCCTTACTGTGGGGACACTTTCCAGCTCCCAGATGATCTGAGAGGACACACAAAAGACTGTTCCAGAAAGTGCCATGTGTGTGGAAAAACTACTGCTCGAATGCTTGATATGCGAAGGCACATGTTAAAACACTACAACAATGGCCCCTACAAGTGCCCGGTGTGTCCAAGGACTTTTATATCCCATACTGATTTGAAGATGCACCTAAAAACAAAAAAACTTTGTAGGGAGAAATGTTCTGATGTAATGATGAATGAATTATTGTCTTCAGCAGATGGTAAATGTAGGGAAAATGTCAATGAAACAAGGTGCCAACAACCAAGCTCCAACAACACAGGCAGGCCTTTGAAGAGCATTGAAGAGTTCTTTGAAGAGTTCTCTCATGACTTGCAGCAATCTGATAACAGCATAAGTAGTGAAGTGAACCTGAATAGCCTGAATAGCCTCGATGAAGACTACAGTGACGAGATCAGTCAATACCAACCCATGAAGGATGTTGACCTGAATAGCCTCCATGAAGACTCCATAATGACCACTGAAGACTACAGTGATGAGATCAGTCAATACCAACCTATTAAGGATGTTGACTTGAATACCCTCCATGAAGACTACAGTCAGGCGGAGATAAGTCAATACCAACCCATTAAGGACATTGACCCAGAGGAGGACAGAAGGTCTGTGGATGATTCAGGGGGAAATGAGATGCCCAATGTCAAAGAACCAAACTCAACTGAAGCCTTAACAGGGGAGCAGGTGTCCCATACTGAGGCAAGCCCTCTCCAGGATTCTCAATCAGAGACAAGCGGAGAAGTGAAGAATGAGATACAGGTGATACCGGTATCGACAATAGATACGACAATACTAAAGGCACTGCAATTTGAGGTTTTAAGAAAATGATGGACTGCAACTTCCTTCCACTTTCCCTATATTTCATTGTATTGTATGGCCATAGCTCTCCTAAACCTGGGCCAGTATTTACAAAGTGTCTCAGAGTAGGAGGGATCTAGGATATGTTTTTCCTTTCAGATCATAATAAGTAAGAGGAGCTGATCCTATATCAGCATTCCTACTCTGAGAAGCGTAAGGAATATGGGCCCAGATTGGAAGGCAAATGGAGCACCAACATGTTGCTGTAACAAGAGTGAGTTCCATCCCACCCTCTCTCTGTACACAACACTTGCCACTGAAGTCAACCGTGCTGACAGACGGAGCTTGTTACTCAATGGGAAACAGTTGGCGTAAGATCTCTGTGAGGGTGACACCCCATGATGGCTACCAATTCCAGCCTGCTAGTTTCACCACTGCCCCCATTCCCTAGTAGTCTGCTACAGCCGACTGTAACCGGAGTCACGGCACCATTGTAACAGAGTGAGTTCTGTCCCCACCTGGGACACAGACTCTGAGTTGCCGTTGGACGGGGCTGAAATGACATTCCTTTTTTGTTTGTTTTTGTTTTTACTTAATGTAAAAATGTGAGAATTATATCTTCTTTCCCCTTTCTCTCCTTCTCTATCATTAATTATTATCCACTTTTATAACACTTTTATAACACGTTAATATTATGTGATGTCACTGTATACTGTAAGTTACTTTGGATAAAAGTGTCTACGCCATCTAGTATTATCTATCTAGTATTATCTACATGTTTATCCACCTTGTTTTGAAGTTTACATAGGTGTGATACATTTCAATTCATTAAAGAAACCATATGAAAAGGCATGGCTTTGAGTCAGACTGTGCATTTTTATGACTATAATATATATTGTATACAGAGAGGGAAACTGCAGGCTGAGGCAACGGGTTCACAAGGACAGAAAAGAGGACGTGGTGTCAGAAATGAGAAGACTGAAGCAAAGGGTGTGAATAGAGAGCGCTCACCTGAAACTGAGTGAGTGTCAGCTGTGGAACAGATGTATTCAAATCCAGGCCTCAAGGTCTGCAGTGCTGCTGGTTTTCTTTTCTCCCAGGTAGTAAATTGATTTATTAATATAATTGATTGACCAAAGAATACACTCACCTAGTGTACAGAGGACTGCATCGGTCCCTGATTTGAGGGGTATTGGGGAACAGATTTGAATGTTGCTACAGTAGTGGCTACACTGCAAAAAGTGAAATTGAAGCAAGCTTAAATATCTTATATTGAGTGATAATTCACATCCATTTTTTCATTGTTTTTCTTACCAAGCTAAATTATCTAACGTCATTGGCAGATCATTTTGCTTATTTTAACTTTAAAAAAGGCTTAATACAATAAATGGTCCTGTGTGGCTCAGTTGGTAGAGCATGGCTCAAGATATTTTACCTTATTTGTCTTAAGGTAAAATATCTTGAAATAAGATAAATTACTTGTAATAAGCCTTTTGGTTAAAATAAGCAAAATTATTTGCCAATGACGTTAGATAATTTAGCTTTAGCTTATCACTCAATATAAGATATTATGGCTTGTTTAGATTTCACTTTTTGCAGTGTAGGACCTTGGCAGTGAACTTACCCATTGAAAATCATACCTGACTTTCATTTTGGTCTGTCCTCAGGGAAGATGCTGAACCATCAGATAATGAACTTTGGACCTCTGTCAATGAAAGGACCACTGTCAATGATTCTGGTAAGGAGTGTTCCTTAGTGTTTAGAGCACTCAACGTCGAGCTCCTTATGCAAAACGTCTGAATAAAGAACAAACTAGAAATGACAGCATTAAAGATGCAGAGAAAATGGTTACTATACCTAAACGTCCATGCTATTCATGCCTAGTGCTTATAATTCCCTTGCGAGTTCAGTAAACGTTTTCCCTGCATCTACAGGGAGCTCCAAAAGTATTGAGACAGTGACAATTTTTTTGTAATTTTGTCTCTACTCCAGCACTTTGAATTTGAAATGGTACAGTGGTACAACGATGAGGTAAAGTGTAGAGTGGCAGCTTTAATTTGAGGGTATTTTTTATTCATATCGGGTGAACCATTTAGAAATTACATAACCTTTTGTACATTGTGCCCCATTTTAGGGGACCAAAAGTATTGGGAAAAATTCACTTATGTGTTTTAAAGTAGTAAAAAGTTAAGTATTTGGTCCCATATACAGTGGGGAAAAAAGTATTTAGTCAGCCACCAATTGTGCAAGTTCTCCCACTTAAAAAGATGAGAGAGGCCTGTCATTTTCATCATAGGTACACGTCAACTATGACAGACAAATTGAGAAAAAAAAATCCAGAAAATCACATTGTAGGATTTTTAATGAATTTATTTGCAAATGATGGTGGAAAATAAGTATTTGGTCACCTACAAACAAGCAAGATTTCTGGCTCTCACAGACCTGTAACTTCTTCTTTAAGAGGCTCCTCTGTCCTCCACTCATTACCTGTATTAATGGCACCTGTTTGAACTTGTTATCAGTATAAAAGACACCTGTCCACAACCTCAAACAGTCACACTCCAAACTCCACTATGGTCAAGACCAAAGAGCTGTCAAAGGACACCAGAAACAAAATTGTAGACCTGCACCAGGCTGGGAAGACTGAATCTGCAATAGGTAAGCAGCTTGGTTTGAAGAAATCAACTGTGGGAGCAATTATTAGGAAATGGAAGACATACAAGACCACTGATAATCTCCCTCGATCTGGGGCTCCACGCAAGATCTCACCCCGTGGGGTCAAAATGATCACAAGAACGGTGAGCAAAAATCCCAGAACCACACGGGGGGACCTAGTGAATGACCTGCAGAGAGCTGGGACCAAAGTAACAACGCCTACCATCAGTAACACACTACTCCGCCAGGGACTCAAATCCTGCATTGCCAGACGTGTCCCCCTGCTTAAGCAAGTACATGTCCAGGCCCGTCTGAAGTTTGCTAGAGTGCATTTGGATGATCCAGAAGAGGATTGGGAGAATGTCATATGGTCAGATGAAACCAAAATATAACTTTTTGGTAAAAACTCAACTCATCGTGTTTGGAGGACAAAGAATGCTGAGTTGCATCCAAAGAACACCATACCTACTGTGAAGCATGGGGGTGGAAACTTCATGCTTTGGGGCAGTTTTTCTGCAAAGGGACCAGGACGACTGATCCGTGTAAAGGAAAGAATGAATGGGGCCATGTATCGTGAGATTTTGAGTGAAAACCTCCTTCCATCAGCAAGGGCATTGAAGATGAAACGTGGCTGGGTCTTTTAGCATGACAATGATCCCAAACACACCGCCCGGGCAACGAAGGAGTGGCTTCGTAAGAAGCATTTCAAGGTCCTGGAGTGGCCTAGCCAGTCTCCAGATCTCAACCCCATAGAAAATCTTTGGAGGGAGTTGAAAGTCCGTGTTGCCCAGCGACAGCCCCAAAACATCACTGCTCTAGAGGAGATCTGCATGGAGGAATGGGCCAAAATACCAGCAACAGTGTGTGAAAACCTTGTGAAGACTTACAGAAAACGTTTGACCTGTGTCATTGCCAACAAGGGGTATATAACAAAGTATTGAGAAACTTTTGTTATTGACCAAATACTTATTTTCCACCATAATTTGCAAATAAATTCATAAAAAATCCTACAATGTGATTTTCTGGAAAAAAATTTCTCATTTTGTCTGTCATAGTTGACATGTACCTATGATGAAAATTACAGGCCTCTCTCATCTTTTTAAGTGGGAGAACTTGCACAATTGGTGGCTGACTAAATACTTTTTTCCCCCACTGTACATAGCACGCAATGACTACATCAAGCTTGTGACTACAAATCTGTTGGATGCATTTGCTGTTTGTTTTGGTTGTGTTTCAGATTATTTTGTGCCCAATAGAAATGAATGGTAAATAATGTATTGTCATTTTGGAGTCACTTTTATTGTAAATAAGAAGAGGATATGTTTCTAAACACTTCTACATTAATGTGGATGTTACCATGATTACGGATAATCCTGAATGAATCGTGAATAATGATGAGTGAGAAAGTGACAGACGCACAAATATCATACCCCAAAGACATGCTAGCCTCGGACCGTTTGCACTCGCTATCATATTTAGCTAGCAGCCTCCATGGACATTTGCTATTACTCGTGCTAATTTTGTTAGCATTCTGGTAACAGATGTCCAATGGTCTTTTTAGCTTTCTTTTGGCGCCACCTTGTGTACTAAACCGGTATACTGTAAATCCCAGGATGAGAGAAGGATGGTATGAAGATATGAAACTCTGGATACCGCCCAACCCTAGTAGCATCCACATTAATGTAGAAGTGTTCCAAAACATATTCTATTCTTATTTAAAATAAAATAGACTCCAAAATGACACAATACATTACTTACCATTCATTTCTATTGGGCACAAAATAATCTGAAACACATCCAAAACAAACAGCAAATGCATCCAAAAAATGTGGAGTCACAAGGTTGATGTAGTCACTACGTGCTATGAATTGGGACCAAATACTTAACTTTTTACTACATTAATACACATACAGTACCAGTCAAAAGTTTGGACACCTACTCATTCCGGAACTGTCCTACTTGTTTTCTGACTTTGTTTGTCGATATGTAGATGTTTTTCTTACTTCTTGATGTTTATTTGAGGAAAGTTATGTATCCCTTCACTGTATGGATCTTTGTTCAAATGTGGTCTATTCTATTTTAATCAAGCACCGGATCTGTCTAAGTTGTTCTCTTTGACTTTGAGTTAATGTCAATATGGGGATGTCTTGCTCACTTCTCTCTTTTCAACACTAGGTGGAGTCCATGCTTCTCCTCATTGCCCATCATCTCATAAGAGGGAGGAGAAATTGCAACAGCCCATATAGAACTTTCACTCAGAGGAGCACGGTGGTCATATGGCCGAAGGGCAGAACAGAGCAGAACGCTCAGAGTGTGTACCTCAGGACTCTCTAACTCCTGAGCCATCCAACAGCTCTCACAAAAGAAGCCAACGCGTCAAAGCATGCTCTTTCTGTGGCAAGACTTTCACTGACACACTGGGCTTGACAAGACACATGCGATCTCACATTGAGATGCACCCAGTGTGGGCATGACTTTGAATTCAGTGAGGACTTAGAGGAACATCAGAAGAGTAGCTGTGAGGAGAACAAGAACGAGAATGGAAGGAACAATAACAAGAATGGTGAGGACAATGGTGAGGACTACTCTGGAGAAAATGTCCAGCAAAAAACGGATCTGAAAAAAATACCTGATCTGAAAGGAGACAGAAAACAACATGATCTGAAAGGAGACAAAAAAAACTATTCTAAAAGGAGACACACAAGACTGCTCCATAAAGTGCCATGTGTGCGGGAAAATAACTACTCGTATGCTGGGTTTACGAAGGCATCTTCTACTTCACTTCAACAATGGAACATACAAGTGCTCTGTGTGTCCAAAGACTTTTATATAAAATGCTGATTTGAGAGCACACCTGAGATTGAAAAGATCTTGTAGGAATAAATGTTCTGATAAAGTAATTACTACCGGGCTCCACCTCAAATCAAACCCTAGTGAATACAAGTGTCCTTACTGTGGGGACACTTTCCAGCTCCCAGATGATCTGAAAGGACACACAAAAGACTGTTCCAGAAAGTGCCATGTGTGTGGGAAAACCATCTCGAAGTCATGCGACATGCGAAGGCACATGTTAAAACACTACAACAATGGCCCTTACAAGTGCCCGGTGTGTCCAAAGACTTTTATATTCCATACTGATTTGAAGAAACACCTGAAAATGAAAAAAATTTGTAGGGAGAAATGTTCTGATGTGATGGCGAAGGAATTACTGTCTTCAGTAGATGGTACATGTAGGAAACATGTCAATGAAACAGGAGTCATGACAAGGTGCCAACAATCAAGCGCCAACAGTTTGAAGAGCTCTGTCATGACTCCGATAACAGCATGAGTAGTGATGTGAACCTGAATAGCCTCCATGAAGACTACAGTCGGGAAATCAGTCAATACCAACCCATGAAGGATGTTGACCTGAATAGCCTCCATGAAGACTACAGTGACGAGATCAGTCAATACCAACCCATGAAGGATGTTGACGCAGAGGAGGACAGAAAGTCTGTGGATGATTCAGGGGGAAATTAGATACCCAAATGGTCACACCCTGGCCGAGAGGGGCTGTGACTAAACTCACTCAGTACCATAGATTAGACTACACCACCGAGAATAGGGAGTTCTGAATAATAGTTCTACCATAGACAACACCGGTTCTTTTAGTTTGGGTTTGAGTAGAAGAACATGGAAGGGTCAATCTCAGTTTCCATGAACCACATTAGCGTAAGCTTTTGTTCAGCACAAAATGGAAGATACACCATAAAACAAGTAACACAATCAAATAACAAAAACAGGTTTCAGTGCAGGTGGAGGGAAAGCATTGCAACGTTGACTTTAACTTTATTCATCATTTCATCAAGGTAAAACTTCTCTTAGCAAAACCAAGGCTTCCGAAGGAGCTCTGCCACAGCTTCAACACAAACACAGCTTCCCTCTCACCTGCACCTTCCCTTTGGTGGCCGTACCCCAAACAAAAGAAAGGGTTATAAAGGGGCAGGGAAACACAGGGAGACATCACATCTTTCAGTTAATCACAGAGTTAACTAACACTATTTTAGGAGCACCTGGGCCAAAGCATGCACAGTATAGGGAATTCGTCACACCTGTGACACAATGACAAAGAACCAAACTCGACCAACGGCTTAACAGGGAAGAATGTGGCCCACACTGACCCAAGCCATCTCCAGGATTCAATCTGAGAGAATAATGAGATACAGGTGATACCAACCTGTTCTCAGTATTTCGTATTATTCTTTACGTAAATCCAAGACACCCCATTTAGTATGATATGTTACATTTCGTATGGTATGTATTTGTGAATGTCCATCATCCATTTCGTATGATATGTTACGAATTACAATTCGTATGTTACGAATTTGCAAAACGTACAATATGTTACACATTTGCAAACGGATGATATGTTACGAATTCCAATTTGTTGTGGCTAACATTAGCTAGGTGGCTAACGTTAGCTAGCTGGCAAACGTTAGCTAGGCTAGGGGTTAGGTTTAGGAGTTAGGTTAAAGGGTTAAGGTTAGGGTTAGCTAACATGCTAAGTAGTTGCAAAGTAGCTAAAAAGTAGTAAGTAGTTGAAAAGTTGCCAAAAAAACTTGTCCATGATGATATTCAAACACGCAACCTTTGGGTTGCTAGACATTTGCGTTATACGCCCACCCTGACCAACCACCCTCCTTCAGTTTTTTCCTTAAGTAATCTTCTGTCTTATGTAACCATGTAACATACAGTGGGGGGGAAAAGTATTTAGTCAGCCACCAATTGTGCAAGTTCTCCCACTTAAAAAGATGAGAGAGGCCTGTAATTTTCATCATAGGTACACGTCAACTATGACAGACATATTGAGAAAAAAAAATCCAGAAAATCACATTGTAGGATTTTTAATGAATTTATTTGCAAATTATGGTGGAAAATAAGTATTTGGTCACCTACAAACAAGCAAGATTTCTGGCTCTCACAGACCTGTAACTTCTTCATTAAGAGGCTCCTCTGTCCTCCACTCGTTACCTGTATTAATGGCACCTGTTTGAACGTGTTATCAGTATAAAAACACCTGTCCACAACCTCAAACAGTCACACTCCAAACTCCACTATGGCCAAGACCAAAGAGCTGTCAAAGGACACCAGAAACAAAATTGTAGACCTGCACCAGGCTGGGAAGACTGAATCTGCAATAGGTAAGCAGCTTGGTTTGAAGAAATCAACTGTGGGAGCAATTATTAGGAAATGGAAGACATACAAGACCACTGATAATCTCCCTCGATCTGGGGCTCCACGCAAGATCTCACCCCGTGGGGTCAAAATCATCACAAGAACGGTGAGCAAAAATCCCAGAACCACACGGGGGGACCTAGTGAATGACCGGCAGAGAGCTGGGACCAAAGTAACAAAGTCTACCATCAGTAACACACTACGACACCAGGGACTCAAATTCTGCAGTGCCAGACGTGTCCCCCTGCTTAAGCCAGTACATGTCCAGGCCCGTCTGAAGTTTGCTAGAGTGCATTTGGATGATCCAGAAGAGGATTGGGAGAATGTCATATGGTCAGAAGAAACCAAAATATAACTTTTTGGTAAAAACTCAACTCGTCGTGTTTGGAGGACAAAGAATGCTGAGTTGCATCCAAAGAACACCATACCTACTGTGAAGCATAGGGGTGGAAACATCATGCTTTGGGGCTGTTTTTCTGCAAAGGGACCAGGACGACTGATCCATGTAAAGGAAAGAATGAATGGGGCCATGTATCGTGAGATTTTGAGTGAAAACCTCCTTCCATCAGCAAGGGCATTGAAGATGAAACGTGGCTAGGTCTTTCAGCATGACAATGATCCCAAACACACCGCCCGGGCAACGAAGGAGTGCCTTCGTAATAAGCATTTCAAGGTCCTGGAGTGGCCTATCCAGTCTCCAGATCTCAACCCCATAGAAAGTCTTTGGAGGGAGTTGAAAGTCTGTGTTGCCCAGCGACAGCCCCAAAACATCACTGCTCTAGAGGAGATCTGCATGGAGGAATGGGCCAAAATACCAGCAACAGTGTGTGAAAACCTTGTGAAGACTTACAGAAAACGTTTGACCTGTGTCATTGCCAACAAAGGGTATATAACAAAGTATTGAGAAACTTTTGTTATTGACCAAATACTTATTTTCCACCATAATTTGCAAATAAATTCATTAAAAATCCTACAATGTGATTTTCTGGATTTTTTTTTCTCATTTTGTCTGTCATAGTTGACGTGTACCTATGATGAAAATTACAGGCCTCTCTCATCTTTTTAAGTGGGAGAACTTGCACAATTGGTGGCTGACTAAATACTTTTTTTCCCCACTGTATATATTCTTAAATCCCATTCCTTACCAGTTTTGTGTGTTTTAGGTATATGTTGTGAAATTGTTAGATATTACTTATTAGATATTTCTGCACTGTCAGAGCTAGAAGCACAAGCATTTCGCTACACCCGCTATAACATATGCTAAACACGTGTATGTGACAAATAAAATTTGATTTGATTTGACATTATAGGCCTACTGCTGCATTGGCCTAAAGCCAATGAGTCCCATATCCTCATTTCTTTAGCTGCCAATGGATCACAGTGTAGGCTATCAATGTGTCCATATTTACATTTACATTTACATTTACGTCATTTAGCAGACGCTCTTATCCAGAGCGACTTACAAATTGGTGCATTCACCCTATAACCACTTTACAATGTTTTTTTGTTTTTTTTTTAAGAGGGGGGGGGGGGGGGGGGGGGGGGGGTAGAAGGATTACTTTATCCTATCCCAGGTATTCCTTAAAGAGGTGGGGTTTCAAATGTCTCCGGAAGGTGGTGAGTGACTCCGCTGTCCTGGCGTCGTGAGGGAGCTTGTTCCACCATTGGGGTGCCAGAGCAGCGAACAGTTTTGACTGGGCTGAGCGGGAACTATGCTTCCGCAGAGGAAGGGGAGCCAGCAGGCCAGAGGTGGATGAACGCAATGCCCTCGTTTGGGTGTAGGGACTGATCAGAGCCCGAAGGTACGGAGGTGCCGTTCCCCTCACAGCTCCATAGGCAAGCACCATGGTCTTGTAACAGATGCGAGCTTCAACTGGAAGCCAGTGGAGTGTGCGGAGGAGCGGGGTGACGTGAGAGAACTTGGGAAGGTTGAACACCAGACGGGCTGCGACATTCTGGATGAGTTGTAGGGGTTTAATGGCACAGGCAGGGAGCCCAGCCAACAGCGAGTTGCAGTAATCCAGACGGGAGATGACAAGTGCCTGGATTAGGGCCTGTGCCGCTTCCTGTGTAAGGCAGGGTCGTACTCTCCGAATGTTGTAGAGCATGAACCTGCAGGATCGGGTCACCGCCTTGATGTTAGCGGAGAACGACAGGGTATTGTCCAGGGTCACGCCAAGGCTCTTCGCACTCTGGGAGGAGGACACAACGGAGTTGTCAACCGTGATGGCGAGATCATGGAACGGGCAGTCCTTCCCCGAGAGGAAGAGCAGCTCCGTCTTGCCAAGGTTCAGCTTGAGGTGGTGATCCGTCATCCATACTGATATGTCTGCCAGACATGCAGAGATGCGATTCGCCACCTGGTTATCAGAAGGGGGAAAGGAGAAGATTAGTTGTGTATCGTCAGCGTAGCAATGATAGGAGAGGCCATGTGAGGATATGACAGAGCCAAGTGACTTGGTGTATAGCGAGAATAGGAGAGGGCCTAGAACTGAGCCCTGGGGGACACCAGTGGTGAGAGCACGTGGTGCGGAGACAGCTTCTCGCCACGCCACTTGGTAGGAGCGACCGGTCAGGTAGGACGCAATCCAAGAGTGAGCCGCGCCGGAGATGCCCAGCTCGGAGAGGGTGGAGAGGAGGATCTGATGGTTCACAGTATCAAAGGCAGCAGACAGGTCTAGAAGGACAAGAGCAGAGGAGAGAGAGTTAGCTTTAGCAGTGCGGAGAGCCTCCGTGACACAGAGAAGAGCAGTCTCAGTTGAATGACCAGTCCTGAAACCTGACTGGTTAGGATCAAGAAGGTCATTCTGAGAGAGATAGCAAGAGAGTTGGCTAAAGACGGCACGCTCAATAGTTTTGGAAAGAAAAGAAAGAAGGGATACTGGTCTGTAGTTGTTGACATCAGAGGGATCGAGTGTTGGTTTTTTGAGAAGGGGTGCAACTCTCGCTCTCTTGAAGACGGAAGGGACATAGCCAGCGGTCAAGGATGAGTTGATCAGCGAGGTGAGGTAGGGGAGAAGGTCACCGGAGATGGTCTGGAGAAGAGAGGAGGGGATGGGGTCAAGTGGGCAGGTTGTTGGGCGGCCTGCAGTCACAAGTCGCAAGATTTTATCTAGAGAGAGAGGGGAGAAAGAAGTCAAAGCATAGGGTAGTGCAGTGTGAGCAGGACCAGCAGTGTCATTAGACTTAACAAACGAGGATCGGATGTCGTCAACCTTCTTTTCAAAGTGGTTGACGAAGTCATCCACAGAGAGGGAGGAGGAGGGGGGGGAGGAGGATTCAGCAGGGAGGAGAATGTGGCAAAGAGCTTCCTAGGGTTAGAGGCAGATGCTTGGAATTTAGAGTGGTAGAAAGTGGCCTTAGCAGCAGAAACAGATGAAGAAAATGTAGAGAGGAGGGAGTGAAAAGATGCCAGGTCCGCAGGGAGTCTAGTTTTCTTCCATTTCCGCTCAGCTGCCCGGAGCTCTGTTCTGTGAGCTCGCAATGAGTCATCAAGCCACGGAGCTGGAGGGGAGGACTGAGCCGGCCGGGAGGATAGGGGACACAGAGAGTCAAAGGATGCAGAAAGGGAGGAGAGGAGGGTTGAGGAGGCAGAATCAGGAGATTGGAGGGAGAAGGATTGAGCAGAGGGAAGAGATGATAGGATGGAAGAGGAGAGAGTAGTGGGAGAGAGAGAGGCTGGGAGAGAGGCTCCATATGGCAGAGGCTGGTGCTCTTTAAGTTGAATTTTAACTTTTAATTTTGAGAAACTAAAACGTTATTATTGAAATGAAACTGTTCCACGGAAATGCACATAAAAATAATCATAATTTCACGCAGATCGATAGAAATGGTAGGATACATTTTAAGCTACCCAAAAAATTTTACTCACAAGCTGTCTATGGTATTTACCATAACACCCATTTAAAAAATGTTAGTCCCTTGAAAAAACGTGCCCGCCTATGGAAATCAATCTGATTTGTTCTGCTGCTAGCCCTGACTGGCACTAAGGGTGACCATGTTTATATTGTTCAAAGCCTAAAGGGGTGTCCCTGATTTGTAATGAGATATTGCAGATAACCCTGTAATAGGAAACTTGCTCTGACTCATGTCTCTCTCCCTCACAGGTGATCGAAAAGTACCTTCCCAAATACCTGTGAAGTCTGATGCCTGAGCCCCCGTCCATCCGTTGGTTTGTCTGACCTCTGACTTCTCCTTTGGGATTGTGGGTATTGGTGGGTGTGTCCTGGATTAGTGACGGCCTGTCAGTAAACCTGGCTGCGGAGAGGACAGGCCTGATGAAACCCCCAGGACCACCCTTTAATACCCAGCTAGACCACAGGAGAGGACCGTCAGAAATACACACACTAGGGATGTAACGATTCACTGATATGTCGTTCCCAGCATTGGGCGAAAAGGGTCAATATCAAGGGATATCTTTATCTATATACTGTATATCTGTATATCTGACATTTTATTAGATATAAGGAGTAGACATGCTCCAGATTCAAATGTTTAAGATACAAGTGCATCGGTCTGCGGACCCCAAACCGATCCAAATGTAGCATGCATCGGTCAGAAAACGTTCAAAAGTTTCTACCTTCCAAAAATACGTAATATTTTGTTCAGGTTCACCATCAGTAATTGTTTTGCTTTAAACAATCAGTGTACATGGTAATTTTTTGATATACAGGGTAAAGTTGATAATTTCATAATGGGGACAGCAATCACTTTTGCGAGGCGCACTTCATGGCCGAATCAAGAGGAGAAGAGACGATCACTCTGTAAAAACTTTCAAATGCTCAAAACCATTCGATTTTGAGATGGGGTGATATCCAAAGTTGTGCTATATATTTATTTGCTATGTCATAGATAATTTGTAAATGATAATGATACATTACTAGCTCAAACACTTAATCTGCAAAAATGACAAGTTCATTAGTGAGTGATGGTGATTTCAGAACCAAAGTGGGGGGACAAAAAACATAGGCTACATTGCCCCCACTAAGCTGATAGTGGTAGTGGGGTGGTAGATATATGCCTAGTATCCTTTATGGGTCGGCTCAGGTGCCTACATAGTACATACACCATATACATACATCATTTACACACATACAGACAGAAATCAGCTCAGACAGATCCCTCTCACAGAGTCCCAGCTCATGAGCTCCATCAGCAGCAGATTTAATTTAGAATGGAAAATGAATGTGTTTATGCAACAAATGTTAGCGCATCGAACCAAATCGCATCGATTCGTTTCAAACTAAAACGTATCGTTCCTGTGTCATATCGGAGCCCAAGTATCTAGATATGTCTTGAGAGGGAAAGATGCACATCCCTGACACACACACACAACTGCTGTAGCTGCTAACACACTGAACCCCTAGTCAAAACCAGAACTACTGCATCCCCATAGCACTGATATGAACTGTCCCAGCTCTAAATGTACTTTTGTTCACACCTTATATGTTTGTAATCCATCGTGTCATCTGTACCAGTGTTATTGTATGACAATCGAAGGTGTTTATTTTATTGCATTTGAAAGAATGAAGAATAAACTGATAAAGCTACTGAAAATGTGTGGGTTTATGGTCTGCAATTGTTAACTACATTACAACACACACTAATTATAGAACTCAATAGTGACAATTACGTGCTATAATGAAATAGCTATTTTATGACAGTGTTGCTGCAAGATTTTCACTCTGTATATAACAGAATGTGTCTTTATTGTCGATTTTGGAATGGAAATTATTGTTGCTGTCAGTAGGCTACCCTTTCCGACACCATTTAGTGGACAAACATGCCCAATGAAATGATGAGTTGATTTCGCATAGACTGGATTTTTGTCATTCTAAATGTGCATGTCAACCGCAAGAGGAGAGAGAGAAGGATGCTCGGATGACATGCATGACAGACTCTCCTACGTGAATGACGCAGCCACAGCTGCCATGCAACGCTACTGGGTTTATAATGCGCGAGTCGGACAGTATCCTAGGATATAGCGGTAGTCTATTGCACAAGACATCACCCGTTTTTATTATGGTCGTACAATTACCACGATGAAAATAAGCCTGGTATTGAAGAAATGTCGATGAGGCCACCTATTTAGCCTATTCAACGTGATGTCAGAGTGTCCTATAAGCTACAGTTCGCATTTGCCCTTGCATCAACAAAGGACATAATATCGCGCCGCTTATCCGGGAATTGTAAATGGATGAAACTGCGGCAGCCCGGGAGGCCGGAGGAAGCATGCACACATCCGGGGCCGGTAGATCGGACCAGGTGGATACGGCCGGCCTCTCTCTCAAGCTGGATTCTGGAGACATGGGTTCGTATGGCTGTGCTTTATGCTGTGCTTTATTTTGAGACGAGTTTAATTGACTCAAGACATTTGCATTAGAGCTTGTTCAGATGAACTAAAGTGTCTGTAGAGCGCTGGCACCGTTCGATGGTGCATATAAGGGTTCATTCAGGTTTTGGTCCAGCTATCGATTATGGTTTTTCTCAGTAGACTAAATGATCTGTCAGTTTCCAGACCTAAGAAATGATTTATGTTAATAGGCCTATAGTTAACCAATATGGTCATCCTGCTATTTCTAAAGACAATGACAAGCTGCCAGCAACCACCAAAAGGAAAAGCCTAATGAATTAATGCAAACATTGAGCATACAGAAGCTGACCTTGTCCTGATTAAAATGTACAGCATGCAGTAGTTGGTAGGCAATGTCCAGGGCCTGACTATGTGAAAGTGGTCGCCCTCCTGAATCTATATGATTTTTGATAATCATCTTCACTATCCTATTTAATCGTGGATGTCGATTAAGGCAGCCCGCCTCACCTCTCTGATTCAGAGGGGTGGGGTTAAATGCGGAAGACACATTTCAGTTGAATGCATTCAGTTGTACAACTGACTAGGTATCCCCTTTCCCTATATAGATCAAACTAGGCCAATGTCTTTGTCACATAAAAGTGTTACAATTAAAGATGAAACACCAGGAAGCCGATTGAAACCTAATGCATGGGGTTGAATTATAAATGAACAGAAATGTCCTGAGCCTCTCTGCCTCTGCTTTACCTGAGTGTCACTGAATGACCAGGAGAACAGGCTCGCACCTAGGGGCAGGCAGAGTATATAGGCAACAGCGCAACAGTTTAGCCTATATTAAAATATTCCTAGGTAGCCTTGAATATAGGAAGAACACCTTGTACCAGATATGTATGTAAGCTGTGTAAGTCCTTCGTTGTATTCTAGTCCATTACAGGAGATCTATTACTGAACCCAGAACCAACTCTCTCAAGTGCGCTGGCCAGCTACTCAATTTTGTTTCTGTCACAATAGACTATTACATAGTTCCACTGCTATTACTCTGGTATAACAGCAGTATAATGTAACCAATCTTTATTTGTGGTCCTCTGTAGCTCAGCTGGTAGAGCACGGCGCTTGTAACGCCAAGGTAGTGGGTTCGATCCCCGGGACCACCCATACACAAAAAAATAAATGTATGCACACATGACTGTAAGTCGCTTTGGATAAAAGCGTCTGCTAAATGGCATATTATTATTATTATTATTATTATTATTTAAAGATGATAAGACAAGCGTCAGAAAGGAACTGGAAGCAGTATGTGTGTATTAGATGTTATGTTAACCGAACCATCAAGCTGTACTCCATCTTCTGTGCTTCCTCTCAGTAAAGCTGTTCAAGCAGAGTTGAACACTGCACATACACACACCAGTGATTTTCTCCTTTTTCAAACCAAGTATGAGAGAATGAACAGTATGGAGTAGGAATGAATGAACAGTGAATTTCAATGCCTTGGCAGATTCCCTATTGCACATGGAGTAAATGGAAATTGAATGGGCAACAGGGGTGTTTGTGTTCATAGTTCACACATACATTTGATTCGTAGAACATAATTGACTGGTTTTCTTAGCAGCTCTTCTTGCAGTCATTTCCCTATTGAATTTGCACAGTTTCCCATCTGTAGAGAAGCAGCAACTCCCCCAACATACACACACACACACACACACACACACACACACACACACACACACACACACACACACACACACACACACACACACACACACACACACACACACACACACACACACACACACACACACATAGTAGCAGAGCATTATCTGCTATAATCAGCTTATCAGCAGCACTTAGACTAGTGATGGCGCTAGAGACTGGCATCTGGTACAATCCTCATCCAGCAGACCTCTAACCCCCTCTCTTCCTCTCTCACTCTCTCGCCTCTTTCACCTGGTCAGTCTGTCATGGAAAGAGCAGGTTTTTAAAAATGTTTTGAATAATCAGTTTACATTGCTATCTGAGCAGTCTGATTTCTCTTACTAAGTGTTGGCACTCACACAAAACTGCACCTACTCAAGCCTGAAGGAATGGTCTCAAATCTCCTATGGTGGAAATGAGGGATGTGTGTGTGCCTGTGAGCACACTTGTGTGTACAGCATCGTGTGCATGCACGTGTGCGTGTGTGTGCACGCTCGCATGTAACAGCTCTATCCCCTAGTCGGCAGTGTTGTGCTATTAGACAGTCTTACGCAACTCTTGTTTACGTGTCAATAACACTCGCCATCAGGCAGCCATCTTCTGAGCTGGCCAGTGAGAGGCCTAATCCTCTTTATATCATAAAACACACACGCCTAGCAGTCTAATGCCTACAAATTCCAATGCAATCCCTGGAAATGCAGATACCTCTGGAAACCCAATCAGTCATTGTATGATCTGAAACATTCAGTCTTTTCAGTCTATATTGCAAAAAGTACCGTTGAGCATACAAGGATGCCAGGGTCTTAGGCACTGACGCAAATTTCTCACTTTGCTCCTGAATAACCGGGTGATGAACGAGACTTGGAAGCATGGTAACGCGAGACTATGTTGACCCTGATACACTAGTATTGTATGGTAATAGGTGTCCTTTGAGGATAGCGCCTCAGCATATTATAACTGACCTTAATCCTATAGCACAGAGGTACTGGCTACCTGAGTGTTCCTTCTGAAGGTTTTGTTTGAGTGTTCGATTCTGTTTGTGTTCCATCTGAGTGCTCTACCATCTGAGTGTTCTGTCTTTCTGTCAGTTCTTCTTCTAAGTGTTCCATACGGGTTTTGTGTCCGAGTGTTCTGTCTTTTTCAGTCTTCCGTCTGTCTGAGCGTTCCGTCTGGGTTCGAGTCTGAGTGTTCTATCTTTCTGAATGTTCTGTCTCTTGAGTGTTCTGTATGTCTGAGTGTTCTGTCTGAATCTTATGTCTTTCTAAATGTTCTGCATATATAATTAGGAATTAGAACTCTGCATGATTGGCAAAGTCCTGCAAAAAGATCTGAAGGCCATTAGCCCAGTGTCATTGCCAGACTTTTAGGTCGAAGACTAACGAGATTGGGTCGGCTCTAGTGTGTCACATTGTTTCGTCTCTGGTGTCCTTCTGTCTCACTCATCTGTAAGTCTCTCTCTTTCTTTTCACGGGCCAACTTCCTGCCGCTGGTTGTTCCGGCGGCGGGCACCCCACTTAATCCTGCACTCTGATTGGCTGCTCACTGCTCAGGGCATCCTGTCTCCTGGGAGACGGTGGTTGTGTCAACCAATGACAGAGAGTTCAGATTAGAGAGCCTGTCAATCCTAAAGAGTCACCTTCCCAGGACAGATCTGCTCTAGAAATAGATTATATCTACGTCAACTGCAGACACCAACTACCGTCAGGTTTGAGTTTTGGTGTGTTTTGGTATTTTTGTGTGTTTTTGGTGGCAATAACTGGAGTACTATTTCACGTTCAGGCTTGAGTGACAAAGAGTTGGGTGAGACATTCAAAACTCTCCGGGGTAGATGTGTTTACGCATACTCAGGGTGTTAAAGATATGAATGTATATATAACCAGAATTGTTTCTTGGGTTGTGTCTGGCTGTGCTTGTGTACATATCCATGAAGGATTAGCGTTGACGTACTGCTAGTGGGTATTTTGATTTAATTTGTTATTTTAATTCATCAGCATTTCATTTTGATTTAATTTGTTATTTTAATGCATCAGCATTAGTTAACTACCCTCTACTGCACTGTATTTCTACACCTGTAATGCTATTTGAGCCTAGAACCAGGTGTAAAGAATATAAGCGTAGTATAAGGCATTTGATGGATAGGTCCATGTGTGTGTGCTTGTGTGATGACCATCTGCACCTGGCTTCATGGGCATAAGTCCAGCATTGTATGGTTAGGGTAGCATGGGTCAAGTCATGTGTCAGGTTGATGTGTGCGTCTGTGTGTGTCAGTAATGTCAGTATGTGTTGTGGATGGTGTCCAACACTGGTAATAGTAGACAAGCTTGGGTTGGGCCATCTTCACAACGCCACTGATACTTTCCAGAGGGAATACACCTTTAATAGTCGTGTAGATACAGTATATAAACACTGATGTGTGTAGCTTTGGTTTCAGTCTTTTATACACGACTGGCAATAACAGGTGCATACTTAACCCTGGTGCCTTTTTCCCTGGTTTATGCATGTATCTAACAGTTAGGCCTAAATCATGTATTGATGTTCTCTCTTTCTCTCTTCTCTGTTAATCAACAGAAGACGCTGGTCCTAGGAGGTCTACAATAACTAGCGAGGTGAGGGCTAGTTACACACACACACTAAATATACCTAAAATGACATATGTTTTTATGCAGTAAAGCGTGCACTGCAGTGGAAGTAACCCACAAATAAAACGAGTCCCCCCTCTTCTCCCTCAGATGCCGTCCCCCACAGCTCAGGGTCTAGGCCCAGGTCAGGAGAAGAAGATTGGCCACAGGAGAGTAGACGCCTCTGGAGAGACCACCTACAAGAAGGTACAGTACTCCTTTCCTCTTCTGCATCCCTTTCTCTCCTTACATTTACATTTACATTTACGTCATTTAGCAGACGCTCTTATCCAGAGCGACTTACAAATAGGTGCATTCACCTTATAGCCAGTGGGATAACCACTTTACAATGTTTATTTTTTTTTGGGGGGGGGGGGTAGAAGGATTACTTTATCCTATCCCAGGTATTCCTTAAAGAGGTGGGGTTTCAAATGTCTCCGGAAGGTGGTGAGTGACTCCGCTGTCCTGGCGTCGTGAGGGAGCTTGTTCCACCATTGGGGTGCCAGAGCAGCGAACAGTTTTGACTGGGCTGAGCGGGAACTATACTTCCGCAGAGGTAGGGGAGCCAGCAGGCCAGAGGTGGATGAACGCAATGCCCTCGTTTGGGTGTAGGGACTGATCAGAGCCTGAAGGTACGGAGGTGCCGTTCCCCTCACAGCTCCATAGGCAAGCACCATGGTCTTGTAGCAGATGCGAGCTTCAACTGGAAGCCAGTGGAGTGTGCGGAGGAGCGGGGTGACGTGAGAGAACTTGGGAAGGTTGAACACCAGACGGGCTGCGGCATTCTGGATGAGTTGTAGGGGTTTAATGGCACAGGCAGGGAGCCCAGCCAACAGCGAGTTGCAGTAATCCAGACGGGAGATGACAAATGCCTGGATTAGGACCTGTGCCGCTTCCTGTGTAAGGCAGGGTCGTACTCTCCGAATGTTGTAGAGCATGAACCTACAGGATCGGGTCACCGCCTTGATGTTAGCGGAGAACGACAGGGTGTTGTCCAGGGTCACGCCAAGGCTCTTCGCACTCTGGGAGGAGGACACAACGGAGTTGTCAACCGTGATGGCGGTTTTCTTCCTTCCACTCTCCCCTGACCTTTCTGACCTTTCTGTACTTCTTTTCCTTCTCCTATCTCACTTATCCTCCTTTCATCCTTTTCCTCCCTCATATTAGTTTTCATGGATCTATTTAAGTGACTTGTGGTTTGTAACCTGACTGCCTGTGCCCTACAGACCACGTCCTCTGCCCTGAAAGGTGCCATCCAGCTGGGCATCGGCTACACGGTGGGCAACCTGAGCTCCAAGCCGGAGAGAGATGTCCTCATGCAGGACTTCTACGTGGTCGAGAGCATCTTCTTCCCCAGGTGTGTTTCTGATTGTGTGTGTTTTGTATGGATGGAAGATGTGTTTGTAAATGGGGAGGGGGGGTTGTGTGTATGTGTGTGTGTGTGCATAGATACTCAAATCTATGATAGATACTCTCAAGTACGATGCCCCTTTCTCTCTCCTGTCTTTATCTCTTTCTGGCTCCCACTCCCATATTCTCTCCCTCTTCTCACCAGTGAGGGTAGTAACCTGACTCCTGCCCACCACTACCCAGACTTCAGGTTTAAGACCTACGCCCCCGTGGCCTTCCGTTACTTCAGAGAGCTGTTTGGGATCCGACCCGATGACTACCTGGTGAGAGACAGTAACCATAGTAAAAGCATTACAGATAGTCTTGTTAATATGTAGGTTAAATATACACTACCATTCAAATGTTTGGGGTCACTTAGAAATGTCCTTGTTTTCCATGAAAACATACATGAAATGTGTTTGAATAGGAGGAAAAAGCAAAATGCATAGGAAATGTAGTCATTGACAAGGTTAGAAATAATGATTTTTAATAGAAATAATAATTGTGTCCTTCAAACTTTGCTTTCATCAAAGAATCCTCCATTTGCAGCAATTACAGCCTTGCAGACCTTTGGCATTCTAGTTGTCAATTTGTTGAGGTAATCTGAAGAGTTTTCACCCCATGCTTCCTGAAGCACCTCCCACAAGTTGGATTGGCTTGATGGGCACTTCTTACGTACCATACGGTCAAGCTGCTCCCACAACAGCTCAATAGGGTTAAGATCCGGTGACCGTGTTGGCCACTCAATTATAGACAGAATACCAGCTGACTGCTTCTTCCCTAAAAGTTATTGCATAGTTTGGAGCTGTGCTTTGGGTCATTGTCCTGTTGTAGGAGGAAATTGGCTCCAATCAAGCGCCATCCACAGGGTATGGCATGGCGTTGCAAAATGGAGTGATAGCCTTCCTTCTTCAAGATCCCTTTTACCCTGTACAAATCTCCCACTTTGCCACCACCAAAGCATCCCCAGACCATCACATTGCCTCCACCATGCTTGACAGATAGCATCAAGCACTCCTCCAGCATCTTTTCATTTGGTCTGCATCTCACAAATGTTATTTGTGATCCGAACACCTCACACTTCGATTCGTCTGTCCATAACACTTTTTTTCCAATCTTCCTCTGTCCATTGTCTGTGTTCTTTTGCCCATCTTAATCTTTTCTTTTTATTGGCTAGTCTGAGATATGGCTTTTTCTTTGCAACTCTGCCTAGAAGGTCAGCATCCCGGAGTCGCCTCTTCACTGTTGACGTTGAGACTGATGTTTTGCGGGTACTATTTAATGAAGCTGTCAGTTGAGGACCTGTGAGGCGTCTGTTTCTCAAACTAGATACTCTAATGTATTTGTCCTCTTGCTCAGTTGTGCACCGGGGCCTCCCACTCCTCTTTCTATTCTGGTTAGAGCCAGTTTGCGCTGTTCTGTGAAGGGAGTAGTACACAGCGTTGTACGAGATCTTCAGTTTCTTGGCAATTTCTCACATGGAATAGTCTTCATTTCTCAGAACAAGAATAGACTGATGAGATTCAGAAGAAAGTTTGTTGTTTCTGGCCATTTTGAGCCTGTAATCGAATCCACAATTGCTGATGCTCCAGATACTCAACTAGTCTCAAGAAGGCCAGTTTTATTGCTTCTTTAATCAGCACAACAGTTTTCAGCTGTGCTAACATAATTGCAAAAGGGATTTCTAATGATCAATTAGCCTTTTAAAATGAGAAACTTGGATTAGCAAACACAACGTGCCATTAGAACACAGGACTGATGGTTGCTGATAATGGGCCTCTGTACGCCTATGTAGATATTCCATTAAAAATCTGCCGTTTCCAGCTACAATAGCCATTTACAACATTAACAATGTCTACACTGTATTTCTGATCAATTTTATGTTATTTTAATGGACAAAATAATTGATTTTCTTTCGAAAACAAGGACATTTCTAAGTGACCCCAAACTTTTGAACGTTAGTGTAGTATCCTACATCAGGTGATTCATTGCATAATATGACATCCTGTGGATTTATCAAGGAAACATGATCCTCTGTTACATATGCTCTGGCCACACACACTGGAATACATATGCACAGATTGATTAACACACAGGCAGACATTATACATGCTGACACACATACACTCTGACACACATACTGTAAATACATGCACACACACAGTCACTCCAATAACCTCACACTACCGGCACCAGATGGAGATTAGCATACTAAGACTTTCTTTTTAAAGCTCCAAGCTGATAACAGTAGACACTCAGTTACAGTATAGGCCTACTCAGAAACAACGTTGGAGTATCTATTTCTATTGGTTTCTATGTACATGCATAGTTTTACAATTACAGGAAAATATAATATTTTACTCACTGTATGAGCATGAGGAATCCATTCTGCAACATTCTTAGTTTTTCTCTGAAAAAGAGAGAGTGCATGGGTATCTTAATTATACTCATTGTGTAGAGACAGAGGATCTTCACTCTCTCCCCTTATGCCTGTTCAAGCCCCTGTATATCTGGCCTTCCAGAAAGTAGAAACCCTGCAAAGTGCCTAATGAAGGACCATCTAAAGCACCCTATAAAGTGCCCTATATGAACCTCTCCAGTGTTGGTGCCATTTTCTATGTTATCTCTACGGCCCACTGATGTATCCTGTGTGTATATATGTGCTTTCTCTTCAGTACTCTCTATGTAATGAGCCCCTAATCGAGCTGTCCAATCCCGGTGCCAGCGGCTCCATATTCTATGTAACCAGGGACGACGAGTTCATCATCAAAACAGTCAATGCCAAGGAGGCGGAGTTTCTGCAGAAACTACTTCCTGGATACTACATGGTCAGTATGTCACAAGCCCCTCCTTCATTCCAATGAATGTGTGTGTGCATGTGTGTTGGTCACATCTTAGCCCCCTGGGGTTAACCTATGTTCAGCTATGACGCCAATAGGGACTTCCATGGACTAAGCACATCACTAAGAAACGTCACACGCCTTAAGCACACACGGCCAGAGGTTTTAAATTCAACCGACTCACGTCTGTCAGGTGTCTTGGACAGGAGCCAGGAGCCAGGAGTCAGGGTCACTGCAGGCAGAATCTGCAGGGGCATGTCTTGTTAATGTTATTATAATAACGTTTTTATAACGTATAGCAAGCTAATCAATTAACCTTTTGTACAGTATTCTTGTTTTTGTATCAATGTATGGCTTAATGAACATTAATTTCCCAGGCATTTCTTATTTCTACAAATGTTTTAAGGGGAAATGTTTAACTAGTCAAACTGACATTATATCTAAAATTCACTGGATTTGATGTCCTAATCATTTCCCAATGTTGCATGTAAAGAACACTAAAATAGGCACAGAATTATCTTTTTCTCACTCTTTAATTTTCCCCTTCTCCCCTCTTCCTCTCTTCTCTCTAGAATCTGAATCAGAACCCGAGGACCCTGCTTCCTAAGTTCTTTGGTCTCTACTGCGTCCAGTCTGGTGGTAAAAACATCCGCATCGTGGTCATGAACAATGTGTTACCACGCGCCGTACGCATGCACCTCAAGTTCGACCTGAAGGGCTCCACGTATAAACGGCGTGCGTCGAAGAAAGAGAGGGAGAAATCGAATCCCACCTTTAAAGATCTGGACTTTATATCAGATGTACCGGAAGGACTGACCCTGGATCAGGATACATACAGCGCCCTGCTAAAGACCCTACAGAGAGACTGTCTGGTGAGAAAGGGAGGATGAGGAGAAGGGAAATGAGGAGAGGGTGGGGGGAATACATAAGACCCTCCCTGTCTGGTGAGAGAGGGAGAAGAGGAAGAGAAGGGGAGGGAAGAGAGTGGAGGAAGAGTAGGGTGGTTTGGGATGGACTTACAGGGGAAAACCCAAAAGAGAGACTGGCATAGAGAGGAGAGATTGGATGTAGAAGGAAGGGGAGGATGAAAGCCATTATGACCTGTGTGTCTGTGCTGTCTGGTAGATCCTCCGATCATTCATTCTGATCTTCATTTTCTGTCTGTGGTACTCCAGGTGCTAGAGAGCTTTAAGATCATGGACTACAGTCTACTGCTGGGGGTCCACAACCTGGGCCAGGCTGTGAGAGAGTCCCAGGGCTCACCAGCAGGGGGCGATGAAAAGAAGCCTCTGGCCCAGAGAGCCCTCTACTCCACTGCCATGGAGTCTATACAGGGAGGGAAGGCTTGTAGAGACACACTAGACCACGATGCTACGTGAGTTACCAAGCTAACACACACAGACATGCATGTACACACAAACACATAGATTCTCTGAGTCTTGGAGTCCTCTCCCACTAAATGAGATTATTTCTTTCTCTCTCTCTCTCTCTCTAGGATGGGTGGTATTCCTGCTGTGGATGGTAAAGGAGAGCGACTCCTTCTCTTTATTGGAATTATCGACATACTGCAGTCCTACAGGTCAATTTCACAAAATCACTCATTGAGTTACTAATGATGTCCTACTAATCAAAAGCACCAGTACCAATATAATGATGTATGAATCACTGAGTTATTTTTCTTGTCCTGCAGGCTCATCAAGAAACTGGAGCACTCGTGGAAGTCTCTGATCAGTGACGGGGTGAGTCCAGTCGCAGGTTGACGTTTATTGTCATGAATCTTACCCGGGAGGCAGAACTGAGCAATTTCTGCTAGATGGGCTAGCTGCAAAGTCAAAATTGGCTATATCGGGGAAAAAAATTATGAAAACAAAAAGTAGCTTTTTGTTCTTCATTTAAGGTTAGAGTTAGGCATTAGGGTTAGCAGTGTGGTTAAGGTTAGGTTTAGGTTTAAAATCAGATTTTATGACTTTGTGGCTGTGCCAGCTAGTGACCACTCTGCAGAGCTGCCTCCAGGGCAATATTCATCACAATAAATGCCACCCTGCAGTCCAATCCTCAGACTGTGGCACCTTTCCTAGGTTTACACAGGCCCGGTGACAAGCTGCTCTACTTACAGCTACATAATCCAACACATACAGTCAACAGCATATAGACAGACAAAATGTCCTTACACTTTTAAGGAGTAGCCTATGGATGGAACATTACTCTGATACTGGGAATGGCTAGTAGGTTATTATTTTAGAACCAACTAGAGGTTTGAAAAGGTGACATGGACTAACTCTCCCATTTCAATAATTCACTACGGTATGCCTGACTGTGTAGATGTGTTTGATGGTTTGTTTGCTAAGATGGTTTCCCCTTCTCTCTATCTCTCTCAGGACACAGTGTCAGTCCACAGGCCCAGTTTCTATGCAGACAGGTTCTACAAGTTCTGCAGCACCACCGTCTTTAGAAAGAGCTGCTGTGAGTAGGAACACATTACACTACATACAACAAATGTTTTATTTTATATTTCTGCTCACAAACCACATATTGAGTATTCGATTAATTGAGATTTCCTTGTGAATACTTTCTCTTTTCTCTCTCATCCATCTCCACCCTCTTTCTCGCCTCTCCTCCCCTCCAGCCCTGAGGTCTTCTCCCTCCAAGAGGGGACGAGGAGGGGCTCTGCCCGTGCCCAAAATCAGTGTCCAAACACAGCTTTCCATAGAGAGAGAGAACCAGGAGAACGAAGACCTGCACCTCAGAGGGGCTCGTGGCTTCCCTCTGCTGGAGGAGGACGGTAAGACGGTTACCACACTCCATATATCTATACAGAGGCTGACCTAAGGAAACTGGCTCTCCTGTTTGAGCCAAAAAGGCCGACAAGCATTTGAGGACAAATAGCTTTTTTTCAACACAGCTATTTGGGTGAAGTGTCATGCTGTGGTGGTAGATTACTAATACTCTTATCACTATAATTTCTCTCTCTCTTCTCGCCTCTCAGGTCAGAGAGAGCATCCCCATACTCCTCCGTCTTTGGAGGATGCGACCACAGCATCCATCGCTACCACTCTCTCCTCAACCAACTCTCTCCCTACCACACCCTTTGATACACCAGAACACCCACGTTTCAGGTACACACACACACACACACACTAGAGAACTACTACAGCAGCAAGCTAGCTCATTCTCCAACAGAAAGGTGCAGTATTCAGAAGTATTGACAGTGACCAAAATCAAACTCCTGCTGCAAATATGAAATTACATTTACATTTTAGTCATTTAGCAGATGCTCTTATCCAGAGCGACTTACAGTTAGTAAACTTTTTGATTTTTTCATACTGGCCCCCCGTGGGAATCGAATCCACAACCCTGGCGTTGCAAGCGCCATGCTCTACCAACTGAGCTATTTTATTGGTCGCATACACATATTTAGCAGATGTATGTGATGGGATTTATGGACAGTATGTAGTATATCTGAAGAATACGTAGGATAGAATACTATATGTACAGCAATAGTTGAATAGGATGGCCTTGACGAGAATACAGTATATACATATGAAATGGGTAAAACAGTATGTCAACATTATTAAAGTGACCAGTGTTCCATTATAAAAGTGACCAGTGTTCCATGTCTATGTACATAGGGCAGAAGCCTCTAAGGTGCAGGGTTGAGGAACCGGGAGGTAGCTGGCTAGTGACTGAGTTCAGGGCAGGGTACTGGGTGGAGGCCGGATAGTGATGGCTATTTAACAGTCTGATGGCCTTGAGATAGAAGCTGTTTTTCAGTCTCTCTGTCCCAGCTTTGATGCACCTGTACAGACCTCGCCTTCTGGATGATAGCGGGGGAACAGGCCGTGGCTCGGGTGGCTGAGGTCCTTGATGATCTTCTTGGCCTTCCTGTGGGTGGACCATTTCAGATTGTCAGTGATGTGTACACCCAGGAACTTGAAGCTTTTCACCTTCTCCCTTGTGGCCCCCGTCGGTGTGGATGGGGGCGTGCTCCCTCTGCTGTCTCCTGAAGTTCACGATCAGCTCCTTCGTTTTGTTGATGTTGAGGTTATTTTCCTGCCACCACTCCGCCAGGTCCCTCACCTCCTCCCTGTAGGCTGTCTCGTCGTTGTTGGTAATCATGCCTACCACTGTTGGGTTGTCTGCTAACTTGATGATTGTATTAGTTTAGTTAATTGACTAATAATAAGGCTCGGGGCGACGTGCCCGGACATTCATGCAATAAGCAAGCTAGCTAAGCAGATGGCTATGTGACCTGTTAGCAAAGATTACGATAACTAACCCTTTCATATGTGGTGTTAGCTAGCAAGCTATATTAGCTACTATGCTGGCTAGATAAACATGGTGCTAAGATATCAGATAGGAGCTTATAGGCAACGTAGTTAGCTAACATTAGCTGGTTATCATTTTGAACGTGCACCATTTTCGGCAGCGAGCCATATGACTAAGCTATTTATTGGTGTGCTGATCTGACCAGTCACAATCGTATGCGTAAATTGACAGTTGATATACGGATTAGCTGATTGTCGTAATAGGGAAGGAAGTGTTTTAAAATTCCTAAATAAAGGTTGGCAATACATAAGCTACATAAGAATCTCCCTGCATGTTTATGGACCAAGAAAGCTGTAGATCAAATCAAATCAAATGTTATTTGTCACGTGCCAAATAAAACCGGTGTAGACCTTACCGTGAAATGCTTACTTACAAGCCCTTAACCAACAATGCAGTTTTAAGAAAATAAGAGTTAAGAAAATATTTACTAAATAAAGTTTAAAGAAAACTCAAACTATGGGCAGATTTGAGTCATTCAGACAACACATACATCGTCGTTTCATATTTTTTCCTACCCTCGCTCTCCTTGTTAGTTAGATATTATGCACATTTATGGCTTCGTAGAAAATAACATCGCCATTGAACTGGTTCTCATAGTAGCAGTAAACAGCACCAAGTGACGTGAGGAGATGTGAAAGAGAGCAGAGTTACATCCTCGCTCTATCCAATCGTAGCAGTAGGATGAAGATACAACCCGTTCATTTCTTGACAGATAGTTGAACTAGCCAATTGAGCTATTTCGAATTTCATCCTGGCAGCAGAGTAGTTTTAGAGATGCGTCCTGACAGCTAAATGTTTTTTTTTTTAGATCATGGAAAATGACAAAAAATACTTGTTTCATGATGTTACGTTGGACCCATTTGCATTGAATAGATGTTATATATTCTCAAACTACACTGAACAAAAATATAAACGCAACATGCAACAATTTTTTACTGAGTACAGTTCATATAAGGAAATCAGTAAATTGAAATAAATTCATTAGGCCCTAATCTATGGATTTCACGACTGGGAATACAGATATGCATCTGTTGGTCACAGATACACTATATACAAAAGTATGTGGACACCCCTTCAAATTAGTGGATTCGGCTATTTCAGCCACACCCGTTGCTGACAGGTGTATAAAATTGAGCACACAGCCATGCAATCTCCATAGACAAACATTGGCAGTAGAATTGCCTTACTGAAGAGCTCAGTGACTTTCAACGTGGCACTGTCATAGGATGCTATCTTTCCAACAAGTCAGTTTGTCAAATTTCTGCCCTGCTAGAGCTGCCCCGGTCAACTGTAAGTGCTGTTATTGTGAAGTGGAAACGTCTAGGAGCAACAATGACTCAGCTGCAAAGTAGTAGGCCACACAAGCTCACAGAACGGGACCGCGAGTGCTGAAGGGCATAGCACGTAAAAACCGTCTGTCCTCGGTTGCAACACTCACTACTGAGTCCCAAAGTGCCTCTGGGAGCAACGTAAGCACAATAACTGTTCATCGGGAGCTTCATGAAATAGGTTTCCATGTCCAAGCAGCCACACACAAGCCTAAGATCACCATGCACAAGAGTCGTCTGGAGTGGTGTAAAGCTCGCCGCCATTGGACTCTGGAGCAGTGGAAACGCGTTCTCTGGAGTGATGATTCATGCTTCACCATCTGGCAGTCCGTCGGACAAATCTGGGTTTGGCGGATGCCAGGAGAACACTACCTGCCCGAATGCATAGTGCCAACTGTAAAGTTTGGTGGAGGAGGAATAATGGTCTGGTGCTGTTTTTCATGGTTCAGGCTAGGCCTCTTAGTTCCAGTGAAGGGAAATCTTAACTATACAGCACACAATGACATTCTAGACGATTCTGTGCTTCCAACTTTGTGGCAACAGTTTGGGGGAGTACCTTTCCCGTTTCAGCATGACAATACCCCCGTGCACAAAGCGAGGTCCATACAGAAATGGTGGAAGAACATGACTAGCCCGCACAGAGCCCTGACCTCAACCTCATCGTACACCTTTGGGGTGAATTGCAACGCCGACTTGTCTGGTGAGTATGCAGGCCAGGTACACTGGTTGAGTATGTGGCATGGAAGGAATCTGTGTGAGATTCAGCTTCCATTGCGACATGGATTGTGGACTGGTGGCCCGTGCATTATCATGCGATCCAGGCTGAAACATGAGGTGATGGCGGCGGATGAATGACAATGGGCCTCAGGATCTCATCACGGTATCTCAGTGCATTGAAATTGCCATAGATGAAATGCAATTGTGTTCTAGTCCGTAGCTTATGCCTGCCGCTACCATAACCCCACAGCCACCATGCGGGACACTCTGTTCACAATGTTGACATCAACAAACCGCTCGCCCACACGATGTCATACACACTGTCTGCCATCTGCCCAGTACAGTTGAAACCAGGATTCATCCGTGAAGAGCACACTTCTCCAGTTGCCAGTGGCCATCGATGGTGAGCATTTCCCCACTGAAGTCGGTTACGACGCCAAACTGCAGTCAGGTCAAGACCCTGGTGAGGATGACGAGCACGCAGATGAGCTTCCCTGAGACCCTACAGTTTCATCAGCTATCCGGGTGGCTGGTCTCAGATGATGCCGCAGGTGAAGAAGCCGGATGTGGAGTTCCTGGGCTGGTGTAGTTACACGTGATCTGTGGTTTTGAGGCTGGTTGGACTTACTGCCAAATTCTCTAAAACAACGTTGGAGGCGGCTTATCCTAGAGAAATGAACAATTAATTCTCTGGCAACAGCTCTGGCGGACAATTCTGCAGTCAGCATGCCAGTTGCACACTCCCTCAAAACTTGAGACATCTGTGGCATTGTGTTGTGTGACAAAACTGCACATTTTAGAGTGGCCTTTTATTGTCCCCAGCACAAGGTGCACCTGTGTAATGATCATACTGTTTGATCAGCTTATTCATATGCCACACCTGTCAGGTGGATGGATTATCTTGGCAAAGGAGAAATGCTCACTAACAGGGATATAAACACATTTGTGCACAACATTTGAGAGAAATAAATGTTTTGTGCATGTGGAAAATTTCTGGGGTCTTTTATTTCAGCTCATGAAACATGGGACCAACACTTTACATGTTGCGTTTATATTTTTGTTCAGTGTAACAGCAGTGCCTATATGATGTCCTTCCATACAGACGTGACATGCTGGAGTAATGCTTCAATGCAGATGTTGATCAGTAGGCTAATATAAGTCCCAAATGGAAGGCAAACAGATTGTTTGTCATTTGTAGCACCATAGACTCCACTGATCAGCCAAAACAAGCTCAATAACTCAATGCATGCACATACTCCTACTGAATATGCATTCACCTGTATTGTGAGTAGGCCTATGCCATCTTAATTCACCCAGTTTATCAAGAGATTTACCATTCAAAATGTATTTTTACTATTATGTTATGTAGTCAGATTGGTAAAAACAAAGTCAAATGTATTGTTTGATTTTAAAATTGATGCATTAATGCATACATGGCTGTCTCTGGGAAATGTCGTCATCAAAATGTTCAAATTTAATGAAATTGAATATCGGCCTAAAATATCGGCCTCCTTGACCACCAAAAACTGGTATTGGCCCTAAAAAAGTATATATTTTTCTCTAACACACACACAATCCTACAGATACTCACTTACCTGTCCCTGTTCTACCCCACAGGAGGCCAACCCACTCTCCACGGGACCGTGAGGGCAGGTAAGCAGTCTTATTTCATGCCCTTTTAATCTAATACATCTCTTCTTATCTGACCATTCTGACTGTGATTGAATGTCTGATGTCACTTCCTGTGCTGTCCCATGTAGTTTCAGGCCACAGAAAGAAGTAGTGGAGGTGCATGAGCAGACCATCACTGTTGCTGTAGAGGTGAAGAGGGAACCTACAACCAGGTACACACTCACACAGACGAACGCACACACACACACATTATCGCCTGTCTGACAGCAGTGTGTCTATCTCTGTCACAGTGTGGTTCCAGAGGACCTTCAGGACTCTAAAGTAACAGAGGAGGAAGTCATCACACAGACCACAGCTGCTTCCCCCACCTCCTCTACACCTCCTTCAACCCCTCCTCCCTCCTCCGCCCCTCCATCCTCCACTCCTCCCTGCTCAGTCCCACCAGCCTCCACTCTCCCTCGTTCCCTTCCTCCCTCAGTCCCTTCCTCCTCTGCCCCTCACTCGAACTCCACTCTCCCTTCTTCTTCCACTCATCCTTTCTCCACCCCTCAATCATCAGCTCACAACGCCTCCACCCTTCCACCCTCTGCAGTCCCTACAGCCTCCACCTCTCCCTCTTCCACCACTCCCGCCTCCACCTTTCCTTCCTCCTCCCGCCATTCTTCTCTCCTTCCAAGCACCCCTCCCTCCTCTCTCCCTCCGAGCCCCCAGGTGACAGCAGAACGCTTTTCGTCCAATCATCTGTCTGTCACCTCGTCCGTCAGCCACAACTCACTGGAGGGGGAGGTGCCAGTCTCAGACATCTACTTTGTAAGTCGTGTGTGTGTGTGTGTGTGTGTGTGTGTGTGTGTGTGTGTGTGTGTGTGTGTGTGTGTGTGTGTGTGTGTGTGTGTGTGTGTGTGTGTGTGTGTGTGTGTGTGTGTGTGTGTAAGTAACAGTGTTCAGCGTGTGAGTTTAGCCCTGGAGCTCCTTTTTGTTTACTGGGGTTTTGGATTTCTTACAGTTGGGCAGTAAGGACAGCGTGGTTGATCTATGAGGGTGAGGGTGTCTGTAGTTTGCTGTCATGGATCATTGATCATTAATCACAAAGTGTGGCTTTAAAGCATGTGGCAATGTTGGTTCTCTCCCTGCAATAAAGAGGTTGGATTGAATCCTGAGACACCACATGCCTGATAATAACCATTCTGCTGACATAGCAACTGGGAGAGACAACAGTCTATTTTGTGTTGTGTGGTGTGGATTGCATGTTTGCTTGTGGCATGTGTGTTGCTCATGCCTGGCTGATCCATATTAATCCAGTCATGTGATTCATTCTTCTAATACCCCAGTCATATCATGATGTGTCGTCAACAGCAATCTGGCCTGGTGGTTCATTCAACATTATGTTATTTCTTCATCCATTTTGAATATGTATTATTCCATTCTCCTCTTCATTTTCACTCTCTTTTTCCTCTCTCTCCACTGTCCCATCCCACCCATGTTGTCACAACATCCTTCTGTCATCTCTCTCTCTCTCTCTCTCTCTCTCTCTCTCTCTCTCTCTCTCTCTCTCTCTCTCTCTCTCTCTCTCTCTCACTTCCTTTTCCATTTCTCTTCATCTACCCTCCTGTCCGTACCCGTGTGTGCGCATGTGTGTGTCTGTGTGTCTTTGTGTATGCACGTGTGTGTGTGTATTATCAGTATGCTGATGGGAGGTATTGGGTGTACTCCCCAATTCTGGGTCGTAAGAAGCTCAACTCAAGCTCGAGCTGCAATGTAAGTGTCGGCTGCTGGTTGCACAAGCCATAGTCAGGTGTAGTGTAATGTAAAGTGGTGCAGACTGGTGTAGTCCCCTGTAACTCAGTTGGTAGAGCATGGCGCTTGCAACACCAGGATTGTGGGTTTGTTTCCCACGGGGGGGGGGGGCCAGTATGAAAATGTATGCACTCACTAACTGTAAGTCGCTCTGGATAAGAGCGTCTGCTAAATGACTAAAATGTAAATGTAAAATGTGTAGGCTTTCTTCCCCTGATTCTGAGCTTGTAGTGCCCATCTCAAATCAACCCTTACTCTAGCCCCTTGGGCACTTTGTGTAGTATAGATCTGAAAGGATTGGGTAAGTGTGAGCAAAATGGCAAAACAACTAAACATTTAACACCTAATATAGGGTTAGAGGAGCTATTTAGGATTTGTAGAAAGTCTTCCTCCCTAAATGTACTTTTCTCTCTCTTCGTCCTGTTTCTGTGTATGCTGACCTGTGTGTCTGCTGCCCCTGCGGGTTGGGTGGTGTAACAACAGAATCAGGAGGACAGGAGCTGGGTGTACTCTCCTCTGCACTACGGCTCAGAGTCCAGACCTGGCTCTGACGGGGAGAGCGAGACAGTAAGTGTGCACTTCATCAATACCCCTACAGAGAAGTTTCCTTCACTCATACCCTAACTCTAACTCACCCTCTCTCTCAAATTCCACTTTCTTTTTCTCAACAGTAAGTTGAGTGAAGTCTCCAATGTAAGCAAATCACTTGAGAGGATTGAAGACTACAGACAGAAGCTGTGATGCTTTACGAAGCTCCATGAAGCTCTATGAAGCTTCTACGGCGTTGTGTAACCGTTGTGGCCCAAGCTGCATGTGAAGCTTGTTCTACCCACTAGGATGGATAAGGATTCTTTGGGAACACTTATTGAAATGTTATTTCTCTGCTTTGGCAACACCTTCCCCAACACACACAAACGCTAACACACACGTCTTCACACTCACACACCCTAACATTGTCCTATATACAGTGCTGTGAAAAAGTATTTGCCCCTTTTCTAATTTTCTCTACTTTTGCATATTTGTGATACTTAATGTTATCACATCTTCAACCAAAACCTAATATTAGATAAAGGGAACATAAGTGAACAAATAACACAACAATGACATATTTATTTCATAAACAAAGTTATGCAACACCCAATTCCCCTGTGTGAAAAAGTAATTGCCCCCTTACACTCAATAACTGGTTGTGCCACCTTTAGCTGCAATGACTCCAACCAAATGCTTCCTGTAGTTGTTGATCAGTCTCTCACGTTGCTGTGGAGGAATTTTGGCCCACTCTTCCATGCAGAACTGCTTTAACTCAGTGACGTGTGGGTTTTCAAGCATGAACTGCTCGTTTCAAGTCCTGCCACAACATCTCAATTGGGATTAGGTCTGGACTTTGACTAGGCCATTCCAAAACTTCCAATTTGTTGCTTTTTAGCAATTTTCATGTAGACTTGATTGTGTGTTTTGGATCATTGTCTTGCTGCATGACCCAGCTGCGCTTCAGCTTCAGCTCACAGACGGATGGTCTGACATTCTCCTGTAGAATTCTCTGATACAGAGCAGAATTCATGGTTCCTTCTATTAAGGCAAGTCGTCCAGGTCCTGAGACAGCAAAGCATCCCCAAACCATCACACCACCACCACCATGCTTGACCTCTGGTATGATGTTCTTACTGTGGAATGCAGTGTTTGGTTTTCGCATGGCATAATGGGATCCATCTCGTCCAAAAAGTTGACTCAAGTTTGCCAAAAAGCACCTGGATGATCATCAAGACTCTTGGAAGAACGTTCTATGGACAGATGATTCAAAAGTATAACTTTTTGGACGACATGGTTCCAGTAATGCCTGGCAAAAACCAAACTCTGCATTCCACAGTAAGAACATCATACCAAAGGTCAAGCATGGTGGTTTCTTTGCAACTCTGCCTAGAAGGTCACATGGAATAGCCTTCATTTCTCAGAACAAGAATAGACTGACGAGTTTCAGAAGAAAGTTATTTGTTTCTGGTCATTTTGAGCCTGTAATCAAACCCACAATTGCTGATGCTCCAGATACTCAACTAGTCTCAAGAAGGCCAGTTTTATTGCTTCTTTAATCAGCACAACAGTTTTCAGCTGTGCTAACATAATTGCAAAAGGGTTTTCTAATGATCAATTAGCGTTTTCAAATGATAAACCTGGATTAGCAAACACAACATGCCATTGGAACACAGGACTGATGGTTGCTGATAATGGGCCTCTGTACGCCTATGTAGATATTCCGTTTCCAGCTACAATAGCCATTTACAACATTAACAAAGTCTACACTGTATTTCTGATCAATTTGATGTTATTTTAATGGACAGAAAATTGCTTTTCTTTTGAAAACAAGGACATTTCTAAGTGACCCCAAACTTTTGAACGGTAATGTAAGTATGCAACTATAATGGTCCCTTTGCCACAGAATTAACTCATAAACATAAAAGTATACATAATCATCAATGGGAGTATTGTGAATAAAACGATATTGCAACTATTTCCGAACATCAGCTATGGCTGCCCAGAGAGACTATCGTACAGTACTGTAGTTGGTCTTGTTAAGAATTATATTTGTCTTTTGTTACCGGTGCCTGTCTTTTGTTACCTGTGCTTGTCTTTTGTTACCTGTGCTTGTCTTTTGTTACCGGTGCTTGTCTTTTGTTAACTGTGCTGTAATATCATGAATTGAATATCATTTGTTATATTGTCATGGTCAGGTTTTTGACTCCTATGGTGAAATGTTGGAGAGTTTTGTCTTTTTATGAAGCAAAACTTTTTTCTCAGTTTTGTAGTGTTCACTGGTCTGATGGTGATGGTTTCACATTCAGCTCAATCAATCATGTATGTTGTGTTAAGAATTATGAACGTTTCTGTCTGGAATTGGGCTATGCCCTGTTTTCTCACAGGGCACATTGAAGTCGTCACAATGTTCATGAAAACCTGAACATTTTATATAATTATTAGCACTTTAAAACTAACATTTTGTAAATGTTCTTTGAAACCATATCTTTATCATTGTTTTACATTTACATTTGACATTTTAGTCATTTAGCAGAAGCTCTTATCCAGAGCAACTTACAGTTAGTGCATTCATCCTAAGATAGCTACAGTAGGTGGGACAACCGCATATCACAGGCATAGTAAGTACACTTTTCCTCAATAAAGTAGTTATCAGCAAAGTCAGGGCTAGAAAAGGGGGGGGGGGGGGGGGGGGGGGGGGGGGGGGGGTGGGGTTGGTTCAGTTTATTTTGGTTCAAATGACAGTGTTGGTTCAGTTTATTTATTTATTTGTTGAGCTATTTGTTTCTATTGCTGGGGAATGGTATTTTTTCTCTCTCGATATACTGAACAAATGTTATATAAGAGTGTTATAATTGCCTTACTAAGAAATATTCCCTCCCTGATCAGTTTCCTTTTTTAAAAATGTATTTTGATCAAATGGTCCAGGGTAGATATAATATATAATAATATATGCCACTTAGCAGACGCTTTAATCCAAAGCGATTTACAGTCATGCATGCATACATTTTTACTGATGTGTGGCGCCAGCGGGAATCAAACCCACGACCCTTGGAGTTGCAAGCGACTGAGCCACACAGGACCAACACAGTATGTGCTGAACCTCTGTAACTTTAAAAAAAGTAATAATATGATTATCATGATTGTATAAATACTAAATTATAAGAGGTCCATACACTCCTTAGTAGCTCTATAATGTCATTTTTCTTCAGCATCTAAGAAGAATAATAAAAAAAAGGAAATATATATTTTGTGAATTATAAATAGTGTGTGTGGTAGTGTGTGTCTGGGTGCGTGTGTGACAGAGCGAAAGGGTTGGAGAGGAAAATAAGATATTGCACTTTGTCCTGGTCAATAATATAAAATGTCAAGGGTAAAAAAAAGATGACAAAGTTGTTCCAGTCCAGGGAAGTTTAAAGGCTATAAACATTAATGTGACATTTAATCACATGTCCATCCTTCTAAAGGTGCAATCTGTAAGTTATCTGTCCCACTGTGGCAACCAGACAAGGGAAAAAACACAATTGACCTGAAACAAAACACACAGAAAAAATATGTAGTTCAAATTTGTCAATGATACTGTACTTCTCGACTTCATCATCAGTCCCCCGGAAAGTGTTCATCACTGAGTAAAAATAAAATAATATATGTTCTATCTCTTACTTAAATACTTTTAACTTGTTATGGAAAATAATGGCTGCTATTTATTTATTTGCGCAGGGGTGCATCTGACCTATAGAGGTACTGTATTCAGGGACGGCTCCAGGCATAAGAAACATAAGCGGTCACTTATGGACCCCTTGCTGCTAGGGGGCCCCCCGACCCCCACAAAAAAGTATTGTTTTTTGGGGGGAACTCAGAGTCTCAACTTACTGTTGAGAGTTAGAATAGTAGACAAGGTGCAATTTTGACATTTGGTTGTGCATCAGCAGTTTTGAGTGACTGTCAGTCACCATTTTTAGAGTCTAGCCAGTTATCTAAACTTGTAGTAATCATGTCCGAATACCGACCAGGACAAGGTTTCCCAAAAGCATCTAAAGGCTAAGTTAATCGTTAGACCATTCGTAGGAGCATCATTAAATCTTCGAGCTGTTTCCCAAAACCATCATTATTAATGTTTCACTTGAAAACGCTTGTAATCTAACGCCTGCCTCAGACCACTTGTAGAACAGCAAAGTGCGTCGTTAGACTGCATTAAACAGTAGGCTATAGGCCTATTTTAACCATATTGAAATACATTTATATTTTCCTACTTGTAGGCTACTGTCTGTAATTTGTCTCAATACAGAGGGGAAAAATAGTATTTAGTCAGCCACCAATTCTGCAAGTTCTCCCACTTAAAAAGATGAGAGAGGCCTGTAATTTTCATCATAGGTACACGTCAACTATGACAGACAAATTGAGAAAAAATAATCCTGAAAATCACATTGTAGGATTTTTAATGAATTTATTTGCAAATGTTATACTGATAACAAGTTCAAACAGGTGCCATTAATACAGGTAATGAGTGGAGGACAGAGGAGCCTCTTGAAGAAGAAGTTACAGGTCTGTGAGAGCCAGAAATCTTGCTTGTTTGTAGGTGACCAAATACTTATTTTCCACCATAATTTGCAAATAAATTCATTAAAAATCCTACAATGTGATTTTCTGGATTTTTTTTTCTCATTTTGTCTGTCATAGTTGACATGTACCTATGATGAAAATTACACGTCTCTCTCATCTTTTAAAAAATATAATAATATAATAATTTTAAGTGGGAGAACTTGCACAATTGGTGGCTGACTAAATACTTTTTTCCCCCACTGTAGAACTGCCAAAGGGGGTGGAGTTGCAATCTACTGTAGAGATAGCCTGCAGAGCTCTATCATACTATCCAGGTCTGTGCCCAAACAGTTTGAGCATCTACTTCTAAAAATCCACCTTTCCAGAAATAAGTCTCTCACTGTTGCTGCTTGCTACAGACCCCCCTCAGCCCCAAGCTGTGCCCTGGACACCATATGTGAATTGATTGCCCCCCATTTATCCTCAGAGTTCGTACT